TGTAACTGTTTTGGACGAGAGATTAATGACAGTTTTGTCTAATGCAGCTTGGCTGACATTGTTTCTGTTAAGTGGTCTTGATTTTATCCCATCCCTCCTGTGTTTATGGACAGATTTCCTTTTTCTAGGTTTAGTGACTTTTGATTTTTTCTCCTTGCGCCTACGAGTTCTCGTTTTGGTTAGAGATATCCTGGGTACTTCTGGTTGTTCTGGTAATGAAGTATAGCTGTTTTTGATGTATACCTCTGTTCCATTCACCTTGTCTCTATTTAACTTAGAATCGTGTGTTTTCTCACATTCCAGTTTCTGTTGGCGGATCTTGTGTTGGACAGTAGCCATACCTCTCTCAAAATGGTTTGTTGGCACAGCAGTTTTAAACTCATTTTTTAGTTTGTAGTAGTTCTCTCTTAGTCTGTTTGACCAGTTGTGGTAGTATAGGATTAAGATATCCAAGATTCTGCTAGCTGTGAATATCATCATACTGGCGGTCAACTTCTCTAAAACAGGGTCTCTGACACTACACTGAAATTGACACTGTTCAAAGGTACCTTTTGGTATTGTTGATATATATATATATTTCGTTGCTGTACTCCTACACATTAAAAGTCGGTGTTGATTAGATATATATATATTTCATGGCTGGACTTCTACACAATAAAAGAAAGCGGTTGTGATTAGATCTTCGAAAGTCTTTGCATCATTTATTTACATCAATTCTGAGAAATTATATCATTAAAGTAACTACATCAAATACGAATCATATACAATTGAGAATAAATACAAACTAAAAGCAGTGGGAAAATCTGATGAACTGAAAATTAAAAAAGAAACCGAAAGCCGTTAAAAATGTACTCTTATCTTATCTCTTATCTAAATACTGATAACTGATTCTCGGAAAATCACTTAAAATCACAACAAAAAACCTGTAAAATGTATACTTAAGTAAAAAATGTAATATGCACGTCTCTGGAATAATGGTATAACTAAATAAAATCTACAAAATATACTAAAACTAAAACTAAGCTCCGGCAGATTTAAAAAGTATATGGTTACTATCAAGGGTGTTCATACCCCCAAACTGTTCAAGGGTTTTCAATTGGGTCTGGTAGAACCCCTCTCTAGCTTCCATAGCCTTTTCTTTGTCTGCTTTACTAATATTAGGCTCAAATACTAAAGCGTCTACTATAATTACAGAAAGGTGCTTACTAAGTGAGGAATTATAGGAGGCTATGGTACTAAAATCTAAATCATGATCAATATCTAAAAAATGGTTAACTAATTTACAACTTCTTATACCTTTCTTTATGTGACTCTTATGGTTAGAGAATCTCTTAGGGAGATTTGAGGTAGTATAACCGACATACGACTGTTTACAAGTCTTACACTCCATTAAATAAATGAGGTTATAACTCTGACAAGATATATACTTAGTTATAGGGAAAACTTGTTTAGAATGGTGACTACTAAAATTGGAACAGGGGGACAGGAAATTTTGCTTACAAACATAGCATTTACCACAAGCATGGCACCCTGGGTCGACAGCCCCGGGAACCGCCCTTAGACTTTCGGAGTCTGGTTCCTGGATCTGACTTGCAGTTGTTTTTCTCTCATTATCACAGTTTAAAGTTCCACTGGCACGGTACTTATTGTGTACAAGCATGCCACCGATAGTTTGATTCTTTCGATGACTCACGAATACACTGTCCGCACGTACCAGCTTCTTCAGGGCCGGATCAAGGTTGAGAAGGTGCTTATACTTATGGATAATGCCCCCATGTTGGGAAGTGCTGGATTTTGATCCATCACCATGGGTATTAAAGAGGCAGTCGACTCATCCTTGTCTTTAAGGGTATACAAGTTTTTCCTATTAGCTATATCACTAAATTTGTTAAAGGCATCTTCTATAATACTGGAATGATAACCTCGGGCTAGAAGGTAACGTGTATAGACCTCTCTCTGCTCCAAGAAGTTAGTGTCTTCACTGTTGTTCTGTCTCACCCGCCTCGCCACTCCAAAAGGTATGTTTTTTACAACATGGTTCCTATGGCATGACGTGGGGATAAGGTAGCAGTGGGTGTCACTAGGTTTAGAGTAGAGTTTGGTGTGGACAACATCACCAACAGCATAGACATAGGTGTCTAGAAACTCAACGCCGTCCCTAGAGTAGTCGTAAGTAAACAAAAGGTTTGGGTGGATACTATTGAGCCATTCCATGAATTGTAATAGTTCCTCAACAGTACCGGGCCAAGCCATATAAATGTCATCACGTAATCTACCCCAGAATGCTGGTCTATGAGGCGGGCCATATTCTAGATCTCCTTCGTTAACTAAAATATCAATCTTATCCATAGCACAATCAGCATACTCACATGAGTTCTTAGGACCCATCGCTGCTCCACGCTCCTGGCGGTATGTTATACCGTTAAATGAAGCAATGTTGTAATCAAGAGTAATTTCTAGTGCACTAATAATGCATTCTGTACTAAACAATTGATCACCACTACTCCTTTTATTCAGGTGCTTAGTGCATTGTTGGATCCCCATATCCCTAGGAATGTTGGTAAACATGTTAGATATATCGATGGCAACATGTATAACCTCCTTTCCCAACAACATACATATATATATTTGTCCGTGCCATTTTACTGACACCACGGCATCAACTTTAACGCAAATTTCCGCAAAAATCGTAAAATATATACAACTGAAACTTTTTTGACTGGGTCAAATGCTTTAATGGCCTCCAAATCAGCATGAAATAATAAAAAATTGGCCAAGAGGTAGGAGTTTTAGAATTTAGAGCCCAAAATTTGGTACCCCAAAACGCGAATTAAATAGGTAATAATTATTTTGGTCTCTTGAGTCTTGACACCATTTTAGGGTTATACGGGTTCCTGCTAGTTATACTAACCACTGCACTATAACCAGCTACCTAACTGAACGACCTCACCTTAACAGGTTCTAGCTCCCGAACCTGTACGGTATCAAAATGACCCACCAATTGTTCTAAAATGGCCCGCGATCACAGTTGAAACCAACTTCTATCGATGTATTTTCGGACGCCAGCTAGAGGACGGGTTGAAAAAGTCACGTGACAGTCAATTGTAGAGTGATTATTCATCATCCTTTCTTCGAAGAAATTTTAAAAATCAGTTGTTTTTTAATTTCTATTCATCATATAGCTCTGTTATAGTTATATTGCACAAAGTTGAAAGTATTCAGATTCCCTAAACGATACTTTCCATCGCATCGAAAAATATCAAATTCAATCACAACCAAAGTTATGAATATAGTCATAGCGTGAGCGTAAATGTGAGCTAGTTATGAAGTTATGTCTATGACGTATTACACAAAGCATGGCAACGTGCGCACTTGCTAATTTAGTTTGTTCTTGCTCGCGCACGTGCAATTTCTTGATGTTGCTAATAATAATTAATATAAGCAACGACGCAATTAACCTTTGCTAAAATATAACCACCATTATTATAAAATATAACGTTTATTTTACCTTACTTCCGACGTTAATTATTGATGGATGTTGCTCGTCTAAATTTCTTCGAAGTAGTCCATTAGATTAACAATAACAATGGACAACGTTAATTTAAATTATAGAAAATCTAAAGCCTTTATAATCACAAATCGAAATTCTAAAAATGTTATAGCCTATCTCAGATCCCTATCCTTTTTTACTCGTTTACCTCGTTCATGAAGCTTTGGTTTCAGAATCATTGTAGAATTGCATGTCGACCTTAAGTTTTGGAGTGGAATTTGGCGGCCAAATTCTGAAATTTAATTTTGCTGGGCATTTTTCAAAATTTTGTAGTGCATTATTAGGAATTTCCTTGAGTGCCTGTATTTTGAGATTTTTTCGGTCCTGCTGTTGATGGATTTGGAGCTTTTGATGATGACGAGCTTTTCTGTCATGTCAGGCACAAGTTGCATGTTCTCGAACCAGGCTTGTATGATTGGTATTTTGTTAATATTAAAATTATGATTTTGATACCAAAAGTTGCGTTTGACTAAGCTTATTACGATCCTGTAAAATTTATTTCAAAATATTTGATATTTCAGGAGTTATATGCATTTTACGCAAGCAAGAAATAACTTTTTTTTTTCGTACATACAGCTCGAACTAATCGTGCTACACGATGAATTTGCATTATGAATTATCAATGATTCACACTTATATGAGGTAACTCGGGCTTGCAGGAACCCGTATATCCCTAAAATGGTGTCAAGACTCAAGAGACTAAAATAATTATTACCTATTTAATTCGCGTTTTTGACGCCACTTGGGAGTCCAAATTTTGGGGTCTAAAACTCCTATTTCTTGGCCAATTTTTTATTTTTTCATGCTGATTTGGAGGCCATTAAAGCATTTGACCCAGTCAAAAACGTTTCAATTGTATATCTTTTACGGTTTTTGCGGAAAGTCTCGTTAAAGTTGATGCCGTGGTGTCAGTAAAATGGTACGGAACCCTCCAGGTGTCAGAAAGGCGAATTAAATAGGTAATAATTTGACCAAAACCCATTATTCAAAATTCAAATTACATCGTTGTGACAGAAAAGAAAAGGAAGGACTAACACCATGACTCATGGAATCAACATGCGAAACGTGGATCCGACAGTGTGTTATTTTTCGTGTGCGTTTCACACTTTTGCTTTAGTGTGGAATTTATGTGTGGATCTTAAGCATGGACCCAAAGGACTGGTTGTTCGCGTCATGAACATTCCATATTAGAATAGCTCGGTATTTAAACTCTTTAGACTATAACCGTCAACTGTGCATTTTTCAGGACAGGTTTCGGTTTTTTCGTTTTTGACTTTCATTTTATCTTTATTTTCTAAAATTTAGATCCGACACAATGTTTATTGTAATGATCATTTTATTTTGAAATCCTTGAAATCCTTGAAATCCTTTGAAATCCTCGTTAAAGTTTGACCCAATATAAAAGGTAAATTTAAAATATGAATTCGTATTCATTCCTCTTCTTTTTCAGTAGGCTCATGACGACATAAAGATGCAGAGCCTCTCGTTTTTGGTTTTCGCAGCTTTCTGTCTGGTTGTCAGTGATACAGCGCGAGCGGATCCCATCACAGTCGAACCAGGTTAAAATATGACATATATACGACATATGCACTTTATTTAATATTTAGCGGAATAAGAATCAAATTTTATACAATTTTATACAATGACAAATGCAATGAAGTATAAAAATTTAGCGTACCAATTATAATGACCTTTAATTTATTTCCTTTAATTTTATTGCGCTATCGCCGATATCGCGTGACATGATCATATAAGGAAGTTGGTCGAATTTCTCGTTAGGGTTTTAGCATATGCTTCAAATACGGATTGTGTTAGGGTTAGAGTTAGGGTTACGTTGGGGTCAGAGTAGATCAGAGGTTTAGGGTTTTGCATAATCTTTCTATCCAGGGCCATTTTAATCTAGAGAACATGTTATTTTAGTGTAAAGTGATTTATCACCTACAAAAATAAAAAGGACTCTACAAATTAAACAATCCAAAACCTGTTAAAAATAAAATAACGACGAACACACGAAGGGCGGCGCGGCTTAACTTTTAAAATGCTTATTGCACAATTATTTATACACAATTATATTATATTATGTGTATATTCTGTATTTCGTGGTATATTTATTCATAAATCAGTTTACCACAAATATACACGCGTTGGGTGGATATATTTATTCCTTCGCTATAAATATCGCACTGACTAGGCTATATGTCAACATGTTTTTGGCATGTGTCTTAAAAACACCAATATTTCAGATGAATGGCACGAGACACCGTTTTTGACAGATATCAACCTTCCCAACCAAAAGAATGTTTATATGAAGACTGATCTGACGATTGGAAGTGGCACAGATTTGAGAATCAACTATAAAAACAATGCCGGTGACACGACAGGATCTTTCGTATTAAGATTCTCATCTCCACCAAAGTATGGTTTCCTTAAGTGTACAGACTTTATGAATCCAAGTCAAGACCTTCCTGCTGATTTGCCCGCTAAAGATGATTATGGCTATAGGATCTTCAAAGTAGAAATGCACGGAACAAATGGTTTGAAGATCAGTTGCAACGATGAGTTGCTGATCACTTTCGAACCTTCAGACGCAGCGTGCACGGGATGGTCGACATTGTGGGTAAATACGTGGGAAAAAAACAAAGAGCTGATAAACTTTGACTTTGACAGAGGAGTAAACGTGTTCAAAATCTCAAGTTTGGAATCCGCAGGCTCCAGTGCAGGTAATATTTATCTAGCTTATAAGCTAGATTCTGCAATATTTTCTACTTGGCTGAGAAGTACAATTTTTAACTGTCAATGTCATATGTCTTTTAAAACACCACATTTTCAGAGCAATGGAAGGACAAACCGCTCTGGCCGGAGGATATTGAAATTCCCGAAGGAGTTGTTTATCTGAAGACTGATATGACGATCGGAAGTGGCATCAATTTGGTAATAAACTATAACAACAATGCCGGCAAAAATGCAGGGGGTTTCAAATTACAGTTCTCAAATCCACCAAAATATGAATTCCTCTCTTGTACAACAAATCGACGCCTTCGGGTTGATTTGCCCGCTAAAGATGATGATGGTTTTAGGATCTTCAAAGTAGAAACGCACGGAGCAATGGGTTTGAAGATCAGTTGCAACGATGAGTTGCTGATCACTTTCGAACCTTCAGACGCAATGTGCACAGGATTTAGTTTTTGGAGAATGGTGTGGGAATCCAACAAAGAAAGGATAGACTTTCAGTCTGACTACGGAGTAACAAAGTACAAATTTTCAAGTACGGAATCCAAAGGTAAGAAATACTGATATTTACCAACTTTTCAGGAAACGCTACCAGTTTGCGATCTAGACCTGCTTATCAATACCTAACTGCAACTGCATTTAAAATTGATGTCAGATTGAATTAACTTTAGTTCAGTCAGTTATACTTAACATCACCTTGAACCACGTCATTGTGAACCTGTACACAAAATTGCTTTAATTTAGTTTATTAACTTTGTTTGTTTGACAAATCAACTCAGTTCCTAATTCATTTCCCGCAATGAGGGGTATAAAAGTAAAGGGGGTATAATAGTAAAGGGGGTATAAAAGTAAAGGGGTAAATGGTAATTTCAATGGGTTTTTTCCTTCCCCCGATTTGGGATGCAGCAAACATGCACAGACGATGCCGTGACAGGGGCTGATGCGCAGACATGCAGCAGACATCCGTGGACATGCGGTTGATGCGCAGACATGCGCAACAACCGGTGGACGATGGGGTTGATGCGCAACGGCGGTGACGACGGTTTGATGCTGCAGACGATCTGCAGACGATGCGGGGGACATGCGGTTGATGTTGGGTCGATGGGAAAGATGTTGGGGTCGATGGGGATGATAATATTTTACAGGTAATATTTTTACTTATAACTAGTTTTCGCAATATTTTTCAACTCGCTGAAAATAAAATTTTTAACTGTCATATTCTTTTAAACATCACTTTTCAGATAAATGGGGGAAAAAAACCGTTCATGGAGATAAAAATTTCCCCCAATAAAAGGATGTTTAATGAAGACGACACTTTGGGGAAGCGCAAATTTTTTTGAAACAACTTAAAACGTGGGGCAAAAAGGCAGGGGCTTTCAAAAACGTTCCCCCAAAAACCCCCAAAAATAGGGTTTCCTCTATTGTACAAATTTAACCGAACAAATTTAGACCTTCCTGTTGTTTTGCCCCCCTAAAATGATGAGGCTTTAGAATCTTCAAAGTAAAAACGCACGAAAAAAAGGGTTTTGAAGACAGTTTTAACGATGTTTTACTGATCATTTTCAAACCCTTTCCCAACGCAGGGCACGGGAGGGCACGCGTTTTGGAAGATCTGGAAAACAACAAAGGTGATAACTTTAGCTTGAGAGGGATAACAAATAAAAATTTCCCAAAGTTCGGAATTTCCGAAGGTAAGAAATACTGATTTTTACCAACTTTTCGGGAAACCAAAACCTTTTGCGATCTAGACCTCTTATCAATCCCTAACGCAACTACATTTAAAAATTTTGATGTCAATTGAATTAATTTTAAATTCAGCCCATTTATACTTAACATCACCTTGAACCACTTTGTAAACCCGTACACAAAATTTTTAATTTAGTTTTTAATTTTGTTTTTTTTTGAAAAATCGACCAATTAAAAATTTTCTTTTCAGGCAACGTTAATTTCCATGGGGTCTTCTTCCAGACAAATTTGATGCTGGGGACGATGGGGAAGATAATATTTTCCCAGGAAATTTAAAAACCCCGTTTTTAAAATATTTCAAAACGACTGAAAACTTAGAAGTCCCAAATTTAATTGTCATATGTTTTTTTAAAAAACCCACATTTTCAGATCAAGGAAAGGGGCCAAATAGGGGCACAAAATATTAAAATTTCCCAACCAAAGCGGTTTTAAAAAGACTGACTACGTTTTAAAAGCGAAAATTTTGAGAAAAACTTTTTGGACAAAGACTAAATGAAGCGGGGGGTTTCGAACTGTTCTCAGACCCACCAAAATATAATTTCCTTGGGTTATGACAAAATACACCCACCAGGTTTAGACCTTTTTTGTTGATTTCCCCTTTTTAAAGAAAAGAGTTTTGGGATCTTCAAAGTAAAAACCAGGGAATTAGGGTTTGAATACACTTGCAACGAGGGTTTACGATACTTTTCAACCTTCCAACCAGGGCACGGGATTCGAGGGGAAAAATTGGGAAAAAAAAAAGACTGGAAAACCCGCCGGTGCGACGGTAAAAAGAGTGGGCTTTCTCAAGTAGGGAAATCCAAGATAAAATACTGCTAGTAGCCAAATAATGAATATAAACATTTGTCCCTATACCTCCCAAAAAAAATGACGTTTAATCACTCAAAACCCCTCGACGTCCCGAAAAATTTTTTAACACGCCCTAGTCTCAAAAATTGAAGCCTATTCAAACCCAAACCCCAATTCCTACCCCCAACCCAAACCCCTAAACCAACGAAGCATATTGATATGCTGAAACCCTTACCCTAACAAAATTTAGCCCAAACTTTTTTAAAATTGAAAATATCACGTATGGGAACGTTTTTCCCCCGTTTCTCCTGGGGGACCATTTTAATAGTCTTTCAGGACTACAGAGAACGGTTAAAAAGTCCCGTGACAGTCGCCGAGTGTAGAGATGATATCATCCGACGATTTGTGTATAGTTTTTAAGTTAAAGGAGCGCTTGATATACCTACGGACTTTACGGGAACTGCGAGAGCGGTTTAAAATTTTTTAAAAGGGGACATTACAACTAACGCGAAGGCATTCAAAACCTTAAAAATCAGAAAATTTTTTTGGGGCTTTTTTTTTTTCCAAATTTTTTTTTTACATTTAGTAAAATTTTTTTTTGATAGTTTTTTTTTATACATAATTTACGTAATACAAAAACAAGAAAGCACGTAAAAGCAAAAAATGAAAATATAGTTTAAAAACCGACGACAGAAATTAAACAAAAGGCAAAATTAAAAATACCTCCCAAAGGGGTTCGTTCAAAAAATCCTGTGAAAAATATTTGGTATGTCTTTAAATCGCATCCCTTTCCCAAATTTGATCCGATAAATTTTCATATCAACATTCAGGAAACCTGCCAGTTTGCGATCAATTGCTTACAATACCAGCGCAATCTTCGTCGCTACATTATGCCTTCTATTAGGGTAATTTTTTTTTAATTTAGACCATTATTTTTGTTAATTAATTAAAATTTGGTTAAATTCCAATCATATTAATGACCCGCTTTGTAAAGTTTTTTATGTTTTACCCCAATAGTTCACACATAACATCGGATGGGGATAGCTATTTTATCTAAAAATCTAATTTTTTCGGGACAACCGAAACGATTCACGAAAAGTTCGATAAAGCAAAATTTTTAAAAATTTCCTTTTTGCATACATTAGGGACAGACAGAGTGCCAATTAAAGTTGCATGTTCGCGAGTTTATCTGCATGGGGGTACATTTTGATCTCACGGTGGTCCAATCTATTAGCTATGGACGTTTGGATTTACATTTTGACTTTTCTTTAAATATTTCGTTTAAATTTTTTAAAAATTGTCGATGTAGATTGTAGGCTTCTGACCGTCTGTCAGTTACTTTAGAAACCACATTTCATTAATCATTATGAACCCTCACACCTCAAAAAACCACTATCACATTAAACCACAATCTCATTAAAAACAAATGCGGCCTTTTCCCTTTCCGTTTTTAGACCCGGGGTATTTATACCCGGGAATTTTTTATGATTCCTGACTTTATGATCCTGTTTTTTAATTATCCTTCTGATCCAAATATTTTCCAAAAGTCCAAATACAAAAAATTTTAATAGGGGTCGTTTTTTTTAGGTAAGACCGGCCCCTCTCTTAAATTTAACAGAAAGGGAACCCCCCGGAGTTAGCACCTTTATGTTCACGGAAAAGTCCCTCAAATTTAAAATAAATATTGATTTTATCACCCACGGCTATAACTTTGAATGGTATTGACCGTTTTTTCGAATCATGGGATTTTTTTTGAAAATTTGATCATGAAAAGTATTGTGAACTGTAGATCGATTCATCCTCAGGAAATTTTTTAATCAAACTTTCTCGTGCAGAAAATTTAGATTTGTAAATTTTTATCAAAGCATGAAACCCTTACGGAAAAATAACAAGTTTCAAATTTGATCGAGTGATATTGTTTGATGCAGGGAACAAAATTTTTGTCTTGATCAACCATTTAATTACGCCCCCCTTAAATCGCTTGCCCAAATTTTAAGAAAATTCTTGAAAAAGGCCTTGATATGGGGATATGAAAGACTTTGTTCAGTTTTTTTTTTGGACGCTGATTCCGAACCACCCCCTATTAAAAAATTAAAATGCTTCCCCCCGGCCCGGAGATTAAAGGGAAAAAAACTTTTTTGGGGCACGTGACGCAGTTAAACACAAAATCGATTTTTTAGGGCCCGTTAGGGTTGTGGATACTTGGGGTATGTTTAGGGTTAGATCAAGTTGGGACCGGACGGGGTTTTTATTAAAACCCGCTTTTTTTTCGCTAAAAAACCCGAAAAAACCAAAGACACGTGATAATTTTTGGGCGAGCAAATTTTGAAAAGCCCTTTATTTATAGTTTAATATTTAATATATTAAACTTGAAATCACTTGCCCCCAAAAACAAAATCCAATATAAATTTTCTCTTCGAAGTACAAACAAATAAAATTTCCTAAAACTTTTATATCATGAGTTTCGCCTAGGGCCCCATATTTTTGGGCGCGGCTTTTGGGCAAAATAAAATTGTTTAAAAGTTGCTTTAAATTTTACGAAATTCTTGATTTTTTATTATTTGGTCAATCTTGGGTTTCCCAACATAAATCAGCTTTCAACATACTAAAACCCGAACCAATTAGTTGGGGAAAAAGGATGGATTAAAAAAAAATTAAAAAGGCAAAAAAAAAAAAAATTTTGTTTTAAACCCCAAATTTTGACCCGAAAATTGGCCCAAAAAAAATTTTTTAAAAAAAAAAAAAAATTTTTAAAAACCCAAATTTAAAAAATTAAATAATTTTTTTTTTAAAAAATTTTTTGGGGAAAATTTTTGGCCAAAAACCAAAAAAATTTAATGGGGCCCCCCCCCAAAAATAAAGGAAAAACCGCTCTGCGCCATGCTGCTCCTGCTTCCCGCCGGGACGCTTCCCCCTCTTACTCTAACTTTCGCCCCGGGGCCGCCGGAGCCCATAAATTTTGCCCCTTTTTTTCCCCCCCTCTCTCCCCCTCTCCCCTCCCCCTTCCCCCTTTTTCCTTCCCCCCCTTTTCTCCTCTCTCCTCCCCCCTCCTCCTCCCCCTTTCCCCTTTTCTCCCTCTCCCCCCCTCTCTCTCCCCCTCTCCACTCCTCTCCCTCCCTCTCTCTCCCCCCTTCCCTCCCCTTTCCCCTCCCCCCCTCCCCTCTTTTTCTTTCCCCCTTTTCCCCCCCATCCTCTCTTCTCCTCCTTTCCCCCCCCTCCCTCTCCCCTCTCCTCTCCTCTCTCCTCCTCCCCCCCCTCTCTCCTCTTCCCCTCCTCTCCCCTTCCTTTTTCTCCCTCCTCCTCTCCCCCCCCCCCCCCCTCCTCCTCCCTCTCTCCCCCTCTCCCCCCCTCCTCTTTTCCCCCCCCCTCTCCTCCTCCCCCCCTCCTCCCCCCCTCTCCCCCCTCCCTCTCTCTCCTCTCTCTTTTTCCCCCCCCCCTTTCTTCCTTTTTCCTTTTCTTTAAAATTTCCCCCCCCCCAGTCAACTCCTCTCTCCCCCCTCCCTTTTTTCCTTTTTAAAAAACCCTCCCCCCCCCTTTTGGGGGTTTCCCCCCCCTCCCCCCTCCTTTTCTTTTCCCCCCCCCGGGCTCCCATCAAACCCCCCCTTTTTTTTCTCAAATCCCCTTTTTCCATTTTTCTTCTTTAAAATCCAAAAATTTCCCCTTTTTCCCCTTTCCCCCTTTCCCCTTTCCTTTCCCCCTTTAAAAATTTTTTTTTTCCCCCCCCCTTTTTTTTCCTTCCTCCTTTTCTCCTCCTTTTTTAAAAAAAGGGTTTTTCCCCTTCCCCCTTTTTCCCTTTTGCTTTTTTTTTTTCCCCTTTTCCTAAAAAACCAAAAAAATTTTTTTTTTCTTTTTTCTTTTTTTTCCCTCCCCTTTCCCCCCTTCCCCTTCCTCCCTTTTTCCCGGAAAAATTTTAATTTTTTTTCCCCCTCCTCCCCCCCTTTTTTTTTTCCTTTTCCCCCCCCCTTTCTCAAAAAAATTTTTTCCTTGCCCCCCCTTCCCCCAAAAAAATTTTCCCCCTCTTAAATCCCCTTTCCCCCTTTTTCCCCCCCTTTCCCCCTTTTCCTCCTTTTGCCCCCGTCCATACAACTCCTTTCCACCTTTTCCCCCCTTTTAAAACCCTTCCCCTTCCCCTTCTCTTTTCTTTTTCCCCAAAAAAAACCAAAAATTTTAAAATTTATTTTTCAAAAAACCCTTTTACGCTCTTTTTTCCAAAACCCCCCAAAAAATTGGCCTCCCAAAACCCTTTTTTTCCCCCCAAAAAAAAAAATTTTTTTTCCCCTCCCCCAAAAATTCCCAAAAAATTTCCCCCCGCAATTTTTTTTCCCCTCCCCCTTTTTTAAATTTTCCCCCCAAAAACCCTTTTTCCTATTTTTTTATTCCTTTAAATTTTGCCTTTCCTTTCTTAAAGGGTACCTTTTTTCAACATCCTCAATTTTTTTTTTTCCTTTTTCCCTTCCTCCACCCCACTTTCCCTTTTTAAAAATCTCTTTCTTTTCCCCCCAAACCCCCATTACCTCCCCTCAACTTTTCGCCCTCCCTCCTTTTTTCTTTTTTTTTCTAAAAACCCCCCCTTTTTCCCTTCTCTTTCCCTTTCCAAACCCCCCCCTTTTTTTCCCCTTTAAATTTTTCCTTTTCTCCTTTTCCTAAAAATTTTTCCAAAATTTCTCTTTTTTTTTCCTTTTTTTTTTTTTTTTTCTTTAAATTTTTTCCCCCCCCCCCCCAAAAAAATTTAAAACCTCTCGGGGGTTTTCATCTCCTATTTTCTTTCCCCCTTTAAACCCCCTCGGTTTCTTCCTCTTTTTTAAAAAATTTCCCCCCAAATCCCCTCCTTCGCCCCCCCTCACTTCTCCCTCCTCTCCCCCCTCCTTCTACCCTTCACTTTTTCCCCCCAAACCCTTTCCTTCTCCCCCCCCCCCCCTCACCTCCTTCCCCCTAGCTTCAAACTTTTCTCCCCCCTCCCTTTTTTTTTTAAAAATTTTTTTCCTCTTTTTTCCCTCGGTTTTTTTTTTCACTTTTTTCCTTTTCTCCCCTCTCCTTTCGGGTTTTTTGGGGCCCCCCCTTCCCCTCTTTTAAAAATTCTCTTTTAAAAAACCCCCCCGGCGGCTATTTTGTTACGGGTCCCCTCTTTTCTTTAACCAAAATTTTCCCAAAAATCTTTCAAAATTCTTCTTTTTTTCCCAAAAAAATCTTTTCTCTTTTCTTTCTTTTCCTTCAAAAAATCTAAAAAATTTTCCGGGGCCTCCCCCCCCAATCCCCCCCCTTTTTTAAAAAAAAATTTTTTTAAATTTTTTTCACATCCCCCCCTTTCCTTCTCTACCCTTTTTCCAAGTAAAATTAAAACCCCCCCCCCCCCCTCAAAAAACCTTTTCCCCCCCCCCTTTCTTTTTTTTCCCCTTTTCTTAAAAAATTTTCTTCCCTTTTAATTCTCTTAAAATTTTTTTCATCTTTTTTTTTTTTTAAAAATTTCCCCACTTTTGGGGTTCCCTCAAAATTCTCTTTTGTTCTCTCCCCCTCAAATTTTTTTTTTTTTTTCATTAAATTTCTTTTCTTTTACTTTTTTCCCCCCTTTTTTCTCCTTAAAAAACCCCCCCCCCATTCCCCTCTCTTTTAAAATTTTTCCCTTTTTCTCTTTAAAAAAAAATTTTTCTCTTTTTACCCCAGTTTTCCCCTTGGGGGGGCCCCTTACTTAAAGATATTCCCCTTTTTTTTTGAACAAAACCCTGAAAAAAAAAAAGTCCCGCAATAAAACAAATTTTTTTCCTGTGAGTGTTTTTTTCCTTCTGGCCCCTCGTTTTTAAAAATTTTTTTCGACAAGGGGGGAAAAAGGAAAATTTTTTTTCAACAAAAAACCTTTTTTTTAAAAATTCCTATTTTTTCCCCAAAGTTCTTGTTTTAAAAAATCCGTTCAAAACTTTTTAAAGGGTTTAAATTTTTTGTAAAATTTTTTTAAAAAAAAAAAATTTTTTGGTTTTTTTAAATCCCTAAATTAACCTTATCCAACTTTTCTCTTTTTTTTTAAAACAAGTTTCCTTTGGGGGGCAAAATTTTCCGTTTTGCAAAGGGATTTTCCAAAAACCCCTTTTTTTAAAAAAACTTTTTCTTAAAATTTTGATGAAAGCCCCAATGGGTAAATTTGAAAATTTTTAAAATTTAAAAAGGGTTTTTAACCATGCCCAATTTTTTTTAAAAATAAAAAACTTTTAAAAATCCCCCTTTAATTTTTAAAAAATGTTTTTTTCCGCCAAAAACTTTAAAAATTTTTTATTGAAAAACCTCGCCCCAACAAAAAATTTAAAAATACTATATTAAAGAGGGGAAAAATTTAAAACAATTTAAAATTTTTAAAATAAAAACACTATTTTCCCCTTTTAACTTTTTTACCCATAATTTTTTTAAAAAAAATTTTTAATTTTAAAACCTAAAAATTGCCAATTTAAAAAAATAATAAGAAAAAAGGAAAAATTTTTAAAACCAAAACAATTTAAATTTTTGCATTGGTTTTAAAGATTTGGGTTTTAAAAAACCCACAAAATGCCTTTTTCCCCCTTTTTCCAAATGCCCATTTTTTTTCCCCCCCAAAAATTTTTTTTCATTTTAAAAAAATTTTTTTCAGGGGGATTTTTCTCCCTCTGTGGGAGGGTAAAGGGGCAAAATTTAAAAACCGTTTAATAACCTGTTTTCCTTTATTCTAAAATGGTTCTATACTTCTCCAAATTGTTACTTGTATGTAACGTATATCCTGTCATCACTCTTGGAGTAATGGGTATTAAATGTTTATTGCAATAAATATAATAATCACTAAATTAGAATATAATCTTGTCTTCTATTCAGCTCACTCTTCTGAAACCTCTTCCTCTACATTCTCAACCTTATCATCAACTTCATCATCTTCATCATTAACATCATCACCCCTGTCTTCATCGTTGGTGGTGTGTGCAAGATTTAGGTCCAGTTCGTCAACAGGTATTGCTTTCTGCAATCAATACTGTCTTAAGTAACTTGTATATAACTGTAAATAATTCTGATGAAATGACAAAGTGGGTATCTATGTAATTTTCGTAATAATTAAATGGTTAGCTTCAATCTTCATGCCCATAGTTCAATGTTTTAACCAACCATACCAATATAACATACTTTATACTCATTAACTTACTATCGATTTACTATATAATGTTTTGATTCCTAGTCCTTAGAAGGGTACTCTATTAAAAGTTTTTGACTGATTTGAATATCCTGCTGCCTGCATAGCAGATCGAAGCATCTCTAAATTATTTACTATTATTATTGTATTGCTGTGTAAATTTGATTCTAATTCTAATAATTCTAATTCAAATAATAAGAAACACAAATACTAGACACTTAACTTTTTAACGTGTATTACTATTATATTATTTATTATGTATTAAAACTTTTACATCCTAATATTATGCACAATTATAGTCAATAGTATCATGTACAAGCTGATTTGTTGTGAAAATCCAGAAACAATTTATACTTTTGTGCTCAGCTTGGGGCGGTGCTTTCGAAGCGGTATTTCGGGTACTAGTAAAGCTCTTACAGGCAACTGGATCCTTTTGCCAGCCGTTTTTTTGTCCAAGTACTGTCCCATTTCTGGTCTCAGAACGTGCGCAACTAAACTGTTTTTATGCCAGCGTTGAATTATTTGTATCACGTCGTGACCCTCTGTCATTCCGCTCGTGCGCGGCAGGGCTACAACGTGGAACAAAACATTATAAACTATCGATTTATGAAATTTAAACATTAAGAATACAAGTCAGTATGAAATATTTAAAAATAACTTTTACATCTGCATTGGAGTTTTTATTTATTTTTGAATTCATTAGTTTAGGCTCAGCGCCGTCATTACAATTAATGACTTGCACCGCGCCACACTGATAAAAATTTATGATTGAGATAGCAATTAATCTAATTCATAATTTTCATGAGTTTATTATCGGATGTTCAAGTTCAACTATGTGTATTATGATATTATTATTCATTGTAACATGGCAATACAATTTAAATTTTGTTTTATTTAATTTTGTTTTACGGGTATATGGCCCCCAGAATATAGGTGGCCCCCAAAATATAGGTCATGTTAGTGGATACAGTTCTAACCAAGATAAGCGATACTAATGGGATCTGTTACTGCTATGTTGGAGTAAAACATGTAACTAATGTTTCTGGATAAAAATTTTGGACCTACATGAGGTATTTTGGTATATTTGGTCATGACAGCGAAAGATTTAAACGATGTTGTCATTTTCTAGAGGGGTAAATATGGCGAAAAATTGTCATGACAAAAATCTGTCCAACACATGCCATTAAGACTACTGGTATGAGTATAAGTATTATTTTAAGCTATCTTTTCATCAAGACATCTGCAAACTGACAATTTGGAAAAAAGTTATGGCCACCACAATTTTACGGGCCCCCCGAATATAGGTCTATACGACCCCCAGAATATAGGTTGGTCAAAAACCCTGAACATGCCCAAAACCATGCTTTGGGATGCTCTACTTGTAGCTACTAGTCTCCTGAACCCACATATCAAGTTTTATCAAAATTGGATAAAAATTGGCCGAGTTATGGGATAAAAACAAAAACCATATGCCCATATTTGGGCATACGCACCAAATTTGATCGATTTTGGTCCATAAATTGGTCAAATATCAATATTTTTGAATGAAACCAACTTTATATGGAAGGTAAGCATATATTACACATTCTCTATGATTATCAGCTCAATATCTACCTAACTGTGGATTCTGTGTTCAAATAATCGCAAAAAATGAACAAAATCGCCCATATCTCAAACTGACTTCGCTCAAAACAATAGAACTCAATAGGGTTTCAATATTTTCACATGAAATTTTCAGAATCAACGTAGAATTGTCTCATGACCTTAAGTTTTGGGACAGAATTTTGAGTTAGGCCTTTAAAAAAATTTGGCGGCCAAAAATGTCTGATTTACAGTCATTGAGGTGCACATTGTATTGATACAGATAAAAACAGCCCCCCTCAATCATATCTAGGGACACTCCTTCAATCTTATTTAAGTATTTAGTTAAGATCCCTACTAAATGAGTGCATGAAAGCTTTTTAACTAGTAAAATTAAAGATTTTACTCATTACGGGTATATGGCCCCCTAGGGCCTGTCGTGATATCATGGATCGCTTAGGTTCCACCAGGATCTGGTAGTCCTCATAATTCTGCGGCCTCTATGTGTCGTCATCTTGCACAACTCTTTAAGAATCTTGTGGATTTGGCATGTGAAAATTTGCAGCCTTCCAGACATTGATTGGGTTAACGAGGTGTCGTACGTCACCTCAAGATCGGGTGACAGGGGGCTGACCAGGCCAGAACCCAATTGATTGGGTCTGAGGTCACGTGATTATGAGCCTGAGGTCACGTGACTATGACGTCACCAGACCTTCCTCTCCGTTTCCCGCTCATTGGACCAGGTGAGCTTGCATGCATGTGAATGTGGGTGTAAGTATAGCTGTACTGTAGTTTATACTAATTAAACCCCTATAGAAACCGAAAATTTATTTTCTGGCAGAAAGCTAGAAATTTACCAAAATATCGTCATTGTTTTAAATTTATGATAGGAATTTTGAGATAGGCCTTTAAAGATTTTTAATTCGATTTTGAAATTCTTGGACCTTAATTTTTAGAGGTCCAAGAATTTCAAAATCGAATTAAAAATTTTGATGAAGACACAGCCTGTCAAAAACCCTTGATCTGTCGACACCAACTGAAGGTGACTGCATAATAAAGGATCAAGATGGAATCAGTTAAACAAAAATTTCAGTTTAACAAAAGTTTCAATTTTATGCCATTTATTACAGATTAAACAAGTTTACAATAAATCGATTTGATATTTAAAGGAATCCTAAATCAATGTGTAGTATGGTTGTCACTCTTTAAATAGATTAGATATAGGTTGACGGGGCAAAGGAGTGTGCGTGCTGTTCACTATTGCTCACACCAAACGGCAACCTAGTAAATGTTTTTTATGGGCACCGGTCTCCATCACGATACAAAATTAGGATTGTAGAATTTATTGTATAACTATTAGTGCAGTGGAAGTAGCGGTGTGGTGCATTAATAGTAAAACAAATTTTATTTTATACCCACAATCAATTTATATTTAATGTCGAAATAAACATTTCACATAAGTGGTTATATTATAATAAAATAATTTGTGATAAATTTATAAATTAATTTACACTCAAAAATGAACAAAATATACACAATTTTTACCTAGTACAACACTGGTTCGGCGCGCAGCTGATCGAAAAAGTTTGGTTTGCATTTACTTACTACAGTGAACAGCGTACATGAAAAAAAAAACTTACTGAATCTTTTAATACTAGACACATTTTAATTCAAATGTTGTTCAATGAGTTAGCCACAAAAATGTTCAAATTATGTAGGAGGGTAAAGGACACAATTGCTAGTAGTGCTTTTTTGTGCCCGCCTACTGATTTAGAGTTGTTTTTAAGTGAGCATAATGGGTGTATTTTTGGAGCTAAAGGCTTCAGTATAGCAACTTTAAAATTGGTTCTTTTAATTATTTATTAAATATCAGTTTAATCATACGATAATAAGCTTGCAGCTTCCGATGACAATGTGTTCAATGTTGGTTTTAATCTGGTATTATGCTTGGGTTGGTTTTGGACCTCTTCATTCTTCATGCTTATATTTTATTTATTATTGGTATTTGGTATTTAAATGAGTTAATTTGTACATATATATGCGGTATCTAAAAGTTAAGTGTATAGCGAGCATATTTAATTGGTTATAAATAATAGAATTGTCTTTTCTCAAAAAATTGTCTTTTCTCATTTACCATAACTTTATCCTTTAGAGATGGCGTTCAATCCTAACTTGAGGGAGCTTATTGACATCTTTCAAGGCACACTTGAAGAAAATGTTGTTTCAGGGGTGTTTCATGACATGCATGGAAATGGTATGTCAATAAAATGCAGTTAAAATAAGACAGATCTAATACAAAATGGAAACAGCTAGCTAGTCAATTTTTCTGTTAATTAAGAGATATGGAATGACTTATAATTTGCATCCCCAGGAGGAGAAGCCATTCAGATACTGCGCCAACTTCAAGACAGCATGGGAGTTCAAAATTCTCAACCTACTCCTGATCGGTAATTAAAAGTGGAATGCAAAGAACAAAATTCAATTAAAATTTGTGTTGGCTTAATAACACACAGTGTAAAATTAATTAAAGAAAATTATAATTTGAATCTTGCTAACTAAACTAATTAGTATATAATATAGAGAGATTAAGATATCGCATCAATTTTATTGCAGACAACTCAACACAAGGACAGTACAGAATAATATACCTGTTTAGTAGTGTAACTATGGTAACTAGTAGTGTAACTATGGTAACTAGTAGTGTAACTATAGTAACTCAACACAAGGACAGTACAGAATAATATACCTGTTTAGTAGTGTAACTATGGTAACTAGTAGTGTAACTATAGTAACTCTCTGCCAACCAGGACAGTACAGAATAATAGAGGGACCTGGAGTCAAAAATCAAATCTTACGGCTCAAGGGACAAACTTTACAGTGTCAAACAGGGTTAGAGATACTAGGCGACTTAATCCAGATAAAGTAAAAATACCAGGTATTTGGAACTTGCTCCCTTCCGGTTGACTAATTATTTTAAATTAAATTTCTTATTCTTTTGAAGGTTTGAACCATATATAATATAATTATAATATTGTCTATGAAATTATTGTAGATTTTGGGGATAAAGTTTGATACCAGATCATTTCACATATCATAGACACTACTGGTAATCAGTTCAAGCTGTATTTGTAGCTCTCAGTAACTTTATCTTCATCAGGATATCACGACAAAAAAGCTCTGTACATCATGAGAGGATTGTCAGGCAGTGGAAAGACGACTTATGCGAAGTATATACTTAAATAGCATACCAAGCAGTACAGTAAAACCCCGATCTACCGCAGAGTTTGGGAGAAAGAAAACATCTGCGGTAAATCGGGGCTTTGTTTCTTTACATTATACGTCATGTTAAGCCCTATATTTGGGGGAAAGAGGTGGCTGCGGTAAATCAGAGGGGCGATAAATCGGGGTTTTACTGTAGTAGTATTTTAGAAGGGATATTGCTAGCCTTCATTTCATCATAGTTATAGCAATTGTACAATGTACATTGTAATTTGACACCAGATACTTCACAAAAGATATGATCAACGCTTTTACCATTTCAGAAAGATAATCAGTGAACTTGGTAGTGGAGACATTTTCTCCTCTGATGACTTTTTTATGCTTAATGAAGCTAATGAGTAAGTCTACCAGTTTTTTTAGACTTTTGCAAACACTAAAATCATATTTTACTGTTTCAACATTGGCTTCAGCGTGTGGTTTCAAATATGTTCAGCTTTAAAATCTTGTTTAGATTTATAAGGAGAATAACAATAACTGAACATGTATTTTGTTCATATCTCATTAACTTATTGAACCATCGCCCAGGTACCGGTTTGTTCATGCTGATCTACAGATAGCTCACACGTGGAATCAACAACGTGGTACAGACATACTACTGTAGTATTTTGATAGGTTTCTTCTTTATAATAGCATATCACTGTTCACTAATGGATTCCCAGATACTAATTTATTAACTGAACTATTAACTATCACACATTCCAATTAGTGGAGGGAGCGTTGTCTGAAGGATTGTCTCCAGTAATAGTGGACAACACTAACACTCAGTTCTGGGAGATGAGACCTTATGTTATTGCTGTAAGTTAAGTAAAGTAGTAAAGTAAAGTTTGTATTGCTGTAAGTTTAGTAAAGTAGTAAAGTAAAGTTTGTATTGCTGTAAGTTTAGTAAAGTAGTATATTAAAGTTTGTATTGCTGTAAGTTTAGTAAAGTAGTAAAGTAAAGTTTGTATTGCTGTAAGTTTAGTAAAGTAGTAAAGTAAAGTTTGTATTGCTGTAAGTTAAGTAAAGTAGTAAAGTAAAGTTTGTATTGCTGTAAGTTTAGTAAAGTAGTAAAGTAAAGTTTGTATTGCTGTAAGTTTAGTAAAGTAGTAAAGTAAAGTTTGTATTGCTGTAAGTTTAGTAAAGTAGTATATTAAAGTTTGTATTGCTGTAAGTTTAGTAAAGTAGTAAAGTAAAGTTTGTATTGCTGTAAGTTTAGTAAAGTAGTAAAGTAAAGTTTGTATTGCTGTAAGTTTAGTAAAGTAGTATATTAAAGTTTGTATTGCTGTAAGTTTAGTAAAGTAGTAAAGTAAAATTTGTATTGCTGTAAGTTTAGTAAAGTAGTAAAGTAAAGTTTGTAGTGCTGTAAGTTTAGTAAAGTAGTATATTAAAGTTTGTATAATTGCTGTAAGTTTAGTAAAGTAGTAAAGTAAAGTTTGTATTGCTGTAAGTTAAGTAAAGTAGTAAAGTAAAGTTTGTATTGCTGTAAGTTTAGTAAAGTAGTATATTAAAGGTTGTATTGCTGTAAGTTTAGTAAAGTAGTAAAGTAAAGTTTGTATAATTGCTGTAAGTTTAGTAAAGTAGTAAAGTAAAGTTTGTATTGCTGTAAGTTAAGTAAAGTAGTAAAGTAAAGTTTGTATTGCTGTAAGTTAAGTAAAGTAGTATATTAAAGTTTGTATTGCTGTAAGTTTAGTAAAGTAGTAAAGTAAAGTTTGTATTGCTGTAAGTTAAGTAAAGTAGTAAAGTAAAGTTTGTATTGCTGTAAGTTAAGTAAAGTAGTAAAGTAAAGTTTGTATTGCTGTAAGTTTAGTAAAGTAGTATATTAAAGTTTGTATTGCTGTAAGTTTAATAAAGTAGTAAAGTAAAGTTTGTATTGCTGTAAGTTTAGTAAAGTAGTAAAGTAAAGTTTGTATTGCAGTAAGTTTAGTAAAGTAGTAAAGTAAAGTTTGTATTGCTGTAAGTTTAGTAAAGTAATCTGGTGGATTCGTGTAGTGTTATTGAGTCTCATGATTTGATAGTTCTTTCATTAAAATTTCTGATTGTTTCTGAATAGACTCAGTGAAGACAGATTCTAATAAAAATAAATAATAAAGTAGAACAACTTTTTAATAAAGTAGTAATTATTGTACATTAAGTATTACTAAGTACACATAACTTACTTACTTTACTTACAATACATATCAAGCTGGCATATCCTGTCAAAACCCAGGATGCACGTCTACTAGTATTAAGCATTAATAGTATTGGTAGTTATAATGTAATTCGATGAGGGATGATGCTAATATGACCCTGCAGGGAGTAGAGCAAGGGTACAACTGCTATTTCATTGAGCCTCCCACAGAATGGAAGTTCAAAATTAATCAACTGTTCAGGTTAGCGCTTTACTAATTGCTACATGTTAGCCCTTTACTAATTACTACAGGTTAGCTCTTTACTAATTACTACAGGTTAGCTCTTTACTAATTACTACAGGTTAGCTCTTTACTAATAACTACAGGTTAGCTATTTACTAATAACTACAGGTTAGCTATTTACTAATTACTACAGGTTAGCTCTTTACTAATTACTACAGGTTAGCTCTTTACTAGTTACTACAGGTTAGCTCTTTACTAATTACTACAGGTTAGCCCTTTACTAATTACTACAGGTTAGCTCTTTACTAGTTACTACAGGTTAGCTCATTACTAATTACTACAGGTTAGCCCTTTACTAATTACTACAGGTTAGCTCTTTACTAATTACTACAGGTTAGCTCTTTACTAATTACTACAGGTTAGCCCTTTACTAATTACTACAGGTTAGCCCTTTACTAATTACTACAGGTTAGCTCTTTACTAATTACTACAGGTTAGCCCTTTACTAATTACTACAGGTTAGCCCTTTACTAATTACTACAGGTTAGCTCTTTACTAGTTACTACAGGTTAGCTCTTTACTAGTTACTACAGGTTAGCTCTTTACTAATTACTACAGGTTAGCCCTTTACTAATTACTACAGGTTAGCTCTTTACTAATTACTACAGGTTAGCTCTTTACTAATTACTACAGGTTAGCCCTTTACTAATTACTACAGGTTAGCCCTTTACTAATTACTACAGGTTAGCTCTTTAATAATTACTACAGGTTAGCTCTTTACTAATTACTACAGGTTAGCTCTTTACTAATTACTACAGGTTAGCTCTTTACTAATTACTACAGGTTAGCTCTTTACTAATTACTTCAGGTTAGCCCTTTACTAATTACTACAGGTTAGCCCTTTACTAATTACTACAGGTTAGCTCTTTACTAATAACTACAGGTTAGCTATTTACTAATAACTACAGGTTAGCTATTTACTAATTACTACAGGTTAGCTCTTTACTAATTACTACAGGTTAGCTCTTTACTAGTTACTACAGGTTAGCTCTTTACTAATTACTACAGGTTAGCCCTTTACTAATTACTACAGGTTAGCTCTTTACTAGTTACTACAGGTTAGCTCTTTACTAATTACTACAGGTTAGCCCTTTACTAATTACTACAGGTTAGCTCTTTACTAATTACTACAGGTTAGCTCTTTACTAATTACTACAGGTTAGCCCTTTACTAATTACTACAGGTTAGCCCTTTACTAATTACTACAGGTTAGCTCTTTACTAATTACTACAGGTTAGCCCTTTACTAATTACTACAGGTTAGCCCTTTACTAATTACTACAGGTTAGCTCTTTACTAGTTACTACAGGTTAGCTCTTTACTAGTTACTACAGGTTAGCTCTTTACTAATTACTACAGGTTAGCTCTTTAATGATTACTACAGGTTAGCTCTTTACTAATTACTACAGGTTAGCCCTTTACTAATTACTACAGGTTAGCCCTTTACTAATTACTACAGGTTAGCTCTTTAATAATTACTACAGGTTAGCTCTTTACTAATTACTACAGGTTAGCTCTTTACTAATTACTACAGGTTAGCTCTTTAATAATTACTACAGGTTAGCTCTTTACTAATTACTACAGGTTAGCCCTTTACTAATTACTACAGGTTAGCCCTTTACTAATTACTACAGGTTAGCTCTTTAATAATTACTACAGGTTAGCTCTTTACTAGTTACTACAGGTTAGCCCTTTACTAATTACTACAGGTTAGCTCTTTACTAATTACTACAGGTTAGCTCTTTACTAATTACTACAGGTTAGCCCTTTACTAATTACTACAGGTTAGCCCTTTACTAATTACTACAGGTTAGCTCTTTAATAATTACTACAGGTTAGCTCTTTACTAATTACTACAGGTTAGCTCTTTACTAATTACTACAGGTTAGCTCTTTACTAATTACTACAGGTTAGCTCTTTAATAATTACTACAGGTTAGCTCTTTACTAATTAGTACAGGTTAGCTCTTTACTAATTACTACAGGTTAGCTCTTTAATAATTACTACAGGTTAGCTCTTTAATAATTACTACAGGTTAGCTCTTTACTAATTAGTACAGGTTAGCTCTTTACTAATTACTACAGGTTAGCTCTTTAATAATTACTACAGGTTAGCTCTTTACTAATTACTACAGGTTAGCTCTTTACTAATTACTACAGGTTAGCTCTTTACTAATTACTACAGGTTAGCTCTTTACTAATTACTACAGGTTAGCTCTTTACTAATTACTACAGGTTAGCCCTTTACTAATTACTACAGGTTAGCTCATTACTAATTACTACAGGTTAGCTCTTTACTAATTACTACAGGTTAGCTATTTACTAATTACTACAGGTTAGCTTTTTACTAATTACTACAGGTTAGCTCTTTACTAATTACTACAGGTTAGCTCTTTACTAATTACTGCAGGTTAGCGCTTGCGATACTGTTTGGTGTATATCGTTCAAGTTGGCAATGTGCCAATGCTTTATTTAAAAGAGCTTTTTATGTAGTGAAAACAGGAATAGTCTTAAAATATCAGTGGCTTTACTCTTTCTACTCGTTTTTTTTGCTTTGGATTTCTCCTCCCTCGAGGTATGACTGTATACATTCCAGTTTCTTTTTTCAGGAAATCTAAACATGGTCTAAACAAGGGTCAGTTGGTGGCTGCACTCAAACGATACGAGAAAAATCCAACTGTAGAAAAAGTCATTGGGCCAGCCTACATGTCAAAACTAAAGCATTCCCACTGTGCAGGAGAGAACAGCGATGCTGCAGGATACGTTCCTTTCACCACTGTGAAGAATGATAGGAATGATAAGAATGATAAGAATGATAAGAATAAGAACAATGATAGGAATAAGAACAATGATAAAAGAGGAAAGAATGGGAAATCTACTGAGGGTTCTCTTGTCCCGTATATTTTATCAGACTCTTCTGACGACCCAGCAGATCGAGATAAGGGTTCTGAAAAACGTGGTACCCCTCAAAATGAGGGTACAAGTGTTAAGAATAGGGAATACAATAACAATAGTAAATGCCCTAAAGTAAGAACTCAATCCCCAGTTCCAAGGGCAGTATGGGACTCGGGATCTGGCGATTTAGGGATGTCGGGAAAAAAATCCAAGGAAAATATATCTCAGTTTAGTTGTCTAAAACAAGATGACACTACTTGGGGTTTAAGAAATGCGGAGTCTGACGAAAATGAGGACTGGGACCAAGACATGAGTGTGTGGCTAGAAGACATAGCAGCCAGGGAGATGGAGGATGAGTTGCTAGATAAATTGGAAAAACAGCAATCCACAGAAATAGAAGAGGATTTCAGTGTGGTAATCGACATTCATAAACTGAGAGAGGATAGTGTTAAGAAGCTGTCCACTTGGGATAATGAGAAATATATAAAAACAGGGGTACCCCAGGGATGCAATAACGCTAGCATGAGGAATGTTGTGTCCAATGATAGGCCTGACAGAGACATTCCTGTGGATTTATCTGGTTACGATATAGACATTCCGGAGTTGGAGGATTCTGATGAGGAAATAGAAATGGAGAGAGATCTGGGGAGGGTCTCCAGTGAGCCTACAATGATAAGATATGTGTCTGAAGTATTCAGCTTGGTGGAGATATGCCGAAGGAAGCTAAAGACGTTGTTGAAAGTTTCATATCACAATTCAGCAGAATATTGGGTAACTAACAGTATACTTCATGTTAAATAATTGATTAAATCCTTTAGTTAGACCACAATACCGTCATACTAACCTGTGTTGTTAGTTCCTGGTAATTTCTTAATACCTTAATATTTCAGTTTTATTTTAACAACTTCTTACCCCAGAGTGCTCACACTGAAGCAAAGAAGCTAACAGCACTGAGATGTGATAAAGAGCTACCCCTACCATCACCACAACCTGATCAGGAGATCACATCACCCAACCAACATGTCATCTCTCCTCATCTCCTAGAGCCTTATGTTGTTGTCTATGAGGACCACGTGACTCAGGGCCACGTGACTGAGGACCACGTGACAAAGGACCATGTGTCTCCTCCTAGTAAGTTTATTACTAGCTACATAATATAATAATGTATATCGTAGTACTAGTATTAAGATACATGATATTATTTTCTTCACCAAACTTAACTTCACATCATATTTTGACAATAATCTTGAGAAATTTAACATTATTTCAGAACCAGTTGTACGTAAAAAGACGCAGTGTGTAAAAAAGTTAGCAGAAATAATGTTACACGGAGAAGAGCCAGAAAAGGAGCCTGAAACAGAGAAACCAGAGCCAACAACTTCAGAGGAGAGAGTATTCAGTTTGAGAGAGCTGGAAACCATTAATAAAGTGGAGGCCATCATTGGTTAGCATGTTCTATTTAACTCTGAGTAATTTAATCACGCATATTCTGATATGTGGGACTCAAATTCAGTTTCACATGTGCATAAACTCTAAATGTGCTTTGTAGAATCTAAGCTTTAGTTTACTTGTTTAACAGCTCGACATGATAAAACATGCTTCTTAACAGTTTATAGCAGATGTTTAGAAAATATAGTTTACACTTTATTCATGTTGAGGGATATCCAGGTCCGATGGAGAAGGAGAGACTGGTCTCGATATGCGAGGAATGTGACTGGGACGAAGATGACATTCTGGAATGTATTCTTCTCAAGGTAGATTAACAGCCTGTATAAGACTATAAGAATGTTAACCTATTCCAATTTCAATTTTATATAATTTCAAATAATTCCTCTTTGTTTTGAAAGCTCTGATATTGACAAATTTGAAAAAATCATGAGGCTGAACATTTTTAACAGCTTTCGGAAATCATAACATACGGCCTACAGCCACTGAAAATGATAAATTACGTTATCAAACTGTTCTTGACGTATTGACAATAATCACTTATTTGCCTTTTGTTTGTGAAACCCTTTATAATTGGTAAGAAGGTTCACAAATCCCTTTTTTTATTGATAAACATGAAGAGTGCTTGATTTTGAAACATATCTAATTTAATGCTTTACAGGAGAGTTTGAGAGAAATAACAGTAGAGACGATAAAAGAGGAAAGTGCCAACTTGAACAAGTTGATTCAAAACGAACCACCCTCCATAAGGTTACAGCTGTGGTTTATTATATACCTTACTCGGGAATATTATGACTGGGATAAAGTGGTGGGTTTTGGAAAATTCCGCCATATTTTTCCCGGTCATCAATTTTCCCAGTCATAAATTAACCCGCTATAATGTTCCCGAGTAAGGTAAACTAATAGTAATACATTTTGATGCTTGGTGGGTTTTGGAAAATTCCGCCATATTTTTCCCGGTCATTAATTTTCCCAGTCATAAATTAACCCGCTATAATATTCCCGAGTAAGGTAGTCAATAAATTTAGTTTATATTTATTAATGAGTTTAACTCTCCTTTGTTTTTACTTGGACTCGAATTATACTCTTACGTTTTACTTCTAGAATCGGAATTTGAAGATTCAAATTATTTTCTCGAGTGGCTTAGAAAAGTAATTAACTATCCATATTACAAGGTAAGCTATCTTACTAAAGGACGTAGTTAATAATAACTTAGTTAGTTTATAACTAAGTTATTAACTAAGTTATTAACTAAGTTATTAACTAAGTTATTAACTATTAGTTATTAACTAAGTTATTAACTAAGTTATTAACTATTAGTTATTAACAATTAGTTATTAACTAACACTGTATTACAAGGTAACTCTTACTACAGGACGTTGTTGAATCTGGGAGAGACAGTACAAAGTGGATCTGACAGAGGGGATGAGAGCGAGATATCAAGCAACAGGTTTATGTTACACTATTAGTGCGAATTTGTAACACGAATTTGTAACACGAATTTGTATCATTATTAATGCTTTTCATACAAAGTTACAACGAATTCTTCATGTTATGCATCCTGGGTTTGGACAGGATATGACCCGTTTAAAATATTTTCATAGTTACATTACATAATTCTCAACATAAATGTATTTAATTGCTTAATTGTAGTTGTGAAATTAGTTTAACTTTATTAACTTTCAGCACTGCTAGTAAAACTAGATACGACAGTAAAGACGACACGGAGGTCACAACGCTGGTTCTACCACCAAAAGTTATCAAAACATTGACGGACATGTTCGGACAAATCGTCGGTAAGCTAATCATCTTGTTAAGTATTCCTTTGGCAATTCGATTCGTTGTCTGGTGATCCGTCAACAGTCAAAATTTAGTAATTATTGAACAAACACTGAATAAAAACAAAGCAAAATCATTATCAGATCCACTACACAATTAAATTATTAAACACTTATTAATCCTTTTTACTCTTTCCTGTCATTTTCAATATCTCTAAGAACTTTAGATTAGATAAGTCTTCACGATTTTCACATCTTAAACCTCTCGGATCTAAATCAGATTGTTTACGGTATCAATTTAGTTCGTCCTATTTCAGACTCTTTTTAAGTTATTCTGTATTCCAGTTTTTTAGATGCTCATTTTCAATTTCCGGTAACGCTGTTTGAATAATCATTAATTTTCATCATTCTTCAAAAGAATAATATCTTGTCTTTGATTCTTTGAGAGCTAAGAAATTAATTGCAAGTAAGCTTTTTGCTGGATTGATAAAATCATTCTGATAACCTGATAACGATTAGAACATTTTAGATTTTTTAATTGTGAACAGGACACATTTTTTTCAGGTTTACCCAGTGACAAGAATACTAAGATCCCGGTCAACTCTGAGCTCGCTTCTCTGCTGCATTCTGCACTTTATGTATAGAACTTTAAACTGAGTAGCTCTAATTTCTTGTCAGAAGTTTACCGAAAACATTTAAATCCATAGAAAGGAATTAAAAACCTACGTTTTTGTTACGGATTACTATAACTTCAAAATGAATTTTCAGTTCGCGCACATCGACGGAAAGATCACTAATGCGAATAAAGGTATCAATTTACACATTTACATTGTTCTAAGTTAGTGCTATTGTCAGAGAATTTAACTTACAATTAAAATTACGATATGTAATATTGCGACAAGTTCTCATGTGTGGTAATGAACACGTGGTAACTGCTTTATTTGTAACGCGCGGATCAATAAGTTGTATTATAGCAGCATTCGTGGCACGCGCGTATTTTCACTCTGGTACGTCCATTGAAACAAATTTGCTACATTAAAATAATGGTTGATATGATTTTCTAGGGAAGGAGAAAATGAGACCGATGAAATTACAGAAAAGGAACCTACCTCTAGTGGTTCCTACAGCATCGTCAGTTCCTTTCAGCGAAATAGTTCAATATCAGAGCAAGGTATACCTGACAACAGTGGATAATCCGAAATGTATTCCGACTCCCATTTCTTAGTTTTAAAAACAGGAACTAAATATTCTAAATATTCCACTGCGTATTCTACAAGAACACAGAAGTAGATTATATGTGTTTAATGACCACCATTTGTTTGGCCAGCTGCCAGAACGGAAGGGGAAGATAAAGAAGCTGGTTGCTGCGTACCCTGGAATGGACGAACATTTTCTGGAGAGTGTTCTCTTATCTTGCGGGTATGATATTATCTCAATCAGAATTAGAGGTTTTTGAATTCTGATATTTCGAATTTTTCCAACTCTAGTGGAATAGACGGGAGTTTTAAAGATAAAATTATCTCGAAGCTAGAAAATGGGTAAAACCTTCCCAACACCTGAATAAGGTGGGAATATCTTGAAGAATAAATGATATCTTAGCGAGAATATCTAATTGTGATGCATTGGTGAACGCTGGGGGGGGGGGGGGGGGGGGGGGGGGGGGGGGGGGGGGGGGGGGGGGGGGGGGGGGGGGGGGGGGGGGGGGGGGGATGTGTGGAGACACCGTGAAATGGTAGATAAACTACTGAGCACTACACCCTGAGGTCAGTAAACTGTCCTGTAAAATGTTTATATTTCCGAACGTTTTTAAAGAATAGCATAACTAATATTATCGCTGCGTTATCTATAATATACGAACGAGGTTTTTTTTCCCCCAAAATTTCGCCATTTTCAAGTCACATGACCAAATTCCTTGTCACTTTAATTGGGTTTCTGCTGATGAGCGGTGGTCTCATGGTGACTCATTCCATGTTAATTTGTCTTGATCAAGACTGCGGACAAGTGAAACTGGAAACTACGAGTACCTCATTGTTTTATTAGTCAGAGTGTGCCGTCTAGAGTAATTAGTTAATTACTATTATTATGCAATAAGTTAATTACTATTATTATACAATTATTTAATTGCAATTAGAATAATGCACACATGCAATAATAATAATTACTAGAGTAGTAATTAGTTAATTACTACTATTATGCAATTATTTAATTACAATTAGAACAATGCACACACGCAATAAATTGCCATTTAAGATCACGTATAGTGTATAGTAAAATGTTACCGTTGGAACATAATTACACTTGTTACCATAGTTACCATAGTTACCATAATTACACTTGACTTTTGACGCAAGATCTACTTTAAATTCAGATGTTTAGATGAATAACCAAAATATTCTACTTCATTTCATCTAGCAAGTCATTAGTTGAATATAATCTAGTAAACAATATATAATTAAGAAGAGCAAGCAAGTGACGTGTAAACCGAATCAATAATATTTCTTAAATATTGATATTCACATATTAAATTGTTCTCTGTTCTACCATTCACCTGACAAATAATATTATTGCTATTTTCCTGACATAAGTTTTTTTCCAGTGTACAGAATATCTTGAATATCACATAATTTCATCTGCTACAAACTGAACATCATTAGCCCCTTCAGATGTCCTAACACAACAATGACGGGACAATCACCAATGAGCATTATTTATCAAGTTGATTGATGTCTCCATTCTACTTCATCTGCTACAAGCTGGCACTAGAATAATAAGTCTATATGCACGCACCAGTCTCCATCTTCGCCATCTTCTTAATCCATGGATGGATTTCGACATAATACACCGTTGAAAATTCAGACGAGAGTAATTAAGTGTTTATTGTGGTTTTAGTTCATCTGCTGCAACCTAGTCACCAGTCTTATTATCCTAACCCAACGTTATCGGGTAAACGGGGGGGGGGGGGGGGGGGGGGGGGGGGGGGGGGGGGGGGGGGGGGGGGGGGGGGGGGAACGTTCCCCCCCCGAGGAAACCGTTTTGTTTTACGTTTCCTCGGAATGTTCGTTATTTATTGTACGTTTCACTTTATGTTTATCGTTAAAGTTCATCTGCTACAACCTTTACTTCATTTCCTTCCCACTTCGACATCATTACAGTATGTATTAAACTTATTCTGGTGTTTAATATTTCATCTGCTACAACCTTTACTTCATTCCCATCCCACTTCAACATCATTGCAGCGTGCAAACTCGTACTATCGCGTTATCTTCAACTCGTTCTTGTGTAAAAGTTCATTCTTGTAATAGTTCATCATTGTAATATTTCATCAGCTACAAACTGAACATCAACAGGATCACAGTTTATCTGATGGTTGGCATATATTTTCAAGTTGGCATATATTAGTATTGACTCTCGAGCGAAGTGAACAGGAATGATCCCCTGGATGTTGGACTGACTTCTTCTGTTTCCGCCATATAGTTACCATAGTTACCATAGTTACCATAGTTACCATAGTTACCTTAGTTACCATAATTATCATAGTTACCATAGTTACCATAGTTACCAAACTCCTCCATAGTTACCATAGTTACCATAGTTACCATAGTTACCATAGTTACCATAGTTACCATAGTTACCATAGTTACCATAGTTACCATAGTTACCATATATTGCTAACCGTGGGATTATAGACGTGTTAGAATATGTAAGATACGAACATTTTTATAGTTCTCTCAAAGAAGAAGCTAAAGGTAGCATGCCATAAACTGTAATTGAGAGAGCAGAATTCATTATTGAACTGTGATCTTAGCTGCAGTCGAGCACTCTCTTTGGGAAACCAAGCAGAAACTATTTATTGAAATAAGCCTATACAGTGCTAACAAGCCAGTCTCATTAGTCTCATTAGTCTCATTAGCCGCGTTACAATATCACGGTATAATACAGCTAGATAGCACCATAGTTACCATAGTTACCATAGTTACCATAGTTACCATAGTTACCATAGTTACCATAGTTACCATAGTTACCATAGTTACCATAGTTACCATAGTTACCATAGTTACCATACCGACAAAAGAAGCTTACACAGGAATTTTGACGTTTTTGAGTCCCATTAGGTGCCCTTTAAGGCTAGCCAACTTTTCCAAATTAACTTTGTACAGAAAATTGTACGTCAGACAATCAGTTAATTGGAGTTAATTACCAAAAATTTGATTAATTGTTATTGGCTCAAAATGATCAGAATAGCTTGAAACACGGAGAAATACAGTTTCTAGAAAAATTTCGAAGATTTTTTTCCGCCAAAAGTGATCAAATTGCATGAAACGTGGCGAAAAATGCTTTTCATATAAAAAATTTGAAAACTTTTCGTTAAGGGAATTCTAATATCACCAATATTTGTAGATGTGTCACAGTAAGATTATAACTTAGTCACCACTTACAAGTTACAACCAGTAGGTATTGACAAGCAAATTCAACAGTTAACAAGTACACACACAAGAGTAGGCCTACTCTTGTGTGTTTACTTGCTAAACGTGTGATAATAGAGTCTACCACTTACTGATCACACTCATGTGGCTCGTCTAGTCAAGTTTTAATAACGTAATACTCTCTCTCTCTCTCTCTCTCTCTCTCTCTGTGAGACACGTGGGAGTGCGATTTGGGTAGCCTTAATTTGAGTGATTCTGAGGAAAGAGGAATTATTCGTGTAGTTGAATGTACGGGCTTCTTTCAGTTCATGCTTCGAACAGATAAGACAATTTTCTGCATTTTGGACGTTTTCTGAAGCTTAAAAATAACAAGAAATAGCATCAGGAAATAATGTATAGCAAAGTCTCAACAAAGCACAAAATCTTCATCACTTGGTCCCATCTCAATAACTTTATCATAGAACTCCTGACAAGGATACCATAGTTACCATAGTTACCATAGTTACCATAGTTACCATAGTTACCATAGTTACCATAGTTACCATAGTTACCATAGTTACCATAGTCTCAACAAAGCACAAAATCTTCATCACTTGGTCCCATCTCAATAACTTTATCATAGAACTCCTGACAAGGATACTGATACAACTCACAGTCAACTCTCCACATAGTCTCATACATCTTCTTAAAATCCTCAACAGGAAGTGTTCTGTAGTATCTTATCATACATTCCTCAGTCTTCCAAGGCACCTGCCGTGTCTCAGACTGAACCATCATCTCCGGCTTCAGGGCTGGATGCCCGATCATATCCAACAAATCAAACGCTTCATCGGGAAACTTGTCCAGTTTAAGTATAACGTAGTCGAGAGTACAAGGTGCACAGTATTTATAGAAGGGTGTGATGTGGTTATCTCTCCCTCCTGATAGCACCCATTTAACCAGCTCCCGCAGGGTAGGTCCCGGTGGGTTAAGATAAGGGTTACTCTGGTTGTGGATCAGGTAGTGTTCCTCTGGGGTGAGGATGTAACTCTTGTTACGGCGCGTGTTCTCCACTATCATATGAAGGTTATGTCGGTTATTCTTGATAACAGTATTAGCTTCCTGCATCAGTTCGTGAGGGTTCTTGTTATAAAGTAAGGTATTAACGTGTCGGAATGCGGAGACTGCTTGACGACCACCCCTCTCATTCCAATAAAACCCAGTGTTCTCATTTGCCAGTTCCCACTTGCTACGGAAAGCGCTGAGGAACCTAGCCACTGGGTCCCTGACCACCATGAAGGAAGTTTGTGAGCCCACACAAGCCTGCTCCTTGCAGTGCCCGTTGTGGGCCCTCAGAACATGTATGTTACAAGGTAGCTGTTCGTGTAACAACGGCTCATGCACTCCGGGGTTGATATGTTCTGGTTGTGACAAGTCTGCAACTCCACAGAATAGTTTGACCCACTGACTGCTGCCCACTTTGAAGAGCGGACACCAGAACACATCTAGTTCGGGACTCATGTTGATGATATCTTGTGGGCTTGTCACGTGATTGACGGGGTGGTTGGTGGAGCAGAGGTTCTTGATGTAATTAGACCGGTCTACATACTTGGTGTAGTTAGCAGAGTTCCGGGAGTAACTGATCTCTGGAGTCACCTTAGTAGTAGTAGTAGTAGTAGTTGGAGTGACCTCTAGTTTAGAGTTTGAGTTAAACTCGGGGATGATCTCTGGAGTGGCCTCTAGTTTGGAGTTGGAGTTGAACTCGGGGATGGGCACGAAGACGAGGAAAGTCGCTATGGTGGAAACGGCGATGATTATTCGCCGACAGTTGGCAGATAAATTTCGCGGCATATTATTACTTTATTAGGAACTCTGAGGGTTTACCAAGTGAAGGTCTTGTCACTTATCAGCCCAGATAGGTCTGTGTTCCTATTGAGGTATAATGAATTGTTGATGTGTTATTAAAAATATGGTAGTGTACAATAAAAAATGTTGGGAATATTTGTATTCAAAACATTAAGGTGAAAGATAGCAAACGAAATAAAAACCATTAGTGATTGTATAAAGAGATAATACTTTCATCAACACTACTAAACAGGATGCAAACAAAAGGTAGAATTGAGGGCAGTTGAGAAAATCAGAAAATATTAAATAATTGTACAGATAAAGGGAACGAAATTCACAGATAAAGGAAACGAATAGGCTGTCCTAATCCCAGCATTGGATGAGTTGAATGGTCCATTTAAGGAAGTTTTGGAATTTCTCAACACGTGTATATTAATATAATAAAGATATGATACATACGGGAAAATTATTATATTACTGTATCTACTTCCGACACAAAGACTCAACCCTTGCTGTTCTCTCAAACTATTAGGATGTGAATTGTGAATCTAATTTTGCTTGAGCATGAAATCCATCCCTTCTCGCTGGCTAGTATAGGTCACGTCATCTAAGCGACTGTACCACGTGACTGCGTCACTCCGTTACCACGTGACTGCGTCACTCCGTTACCACGTGACTGCGTCACTCGGTTACCACGTGACTGCGTCACTCCGTTACCACGTGACTGCGTCACTCCGTTACCACGTGACTGCGTCACTCCGTTACCACGTAACTGCGTCACTCCGTTACCACGTGACTGCGTCACTCGGTTACCACGTGCCCGACAAACTGGTGCTGTACCATACAATCAGACACACAACCTACCGCGAATACCTTAGGAATAAGTAAAACTACACGATTAGCACACTAGTCACTATCAACCATATAACATGGGCTCATTTACTTTTATTTATTTTAACTACGGTTCAAACAAAGCACTATACAGAGCACTATACTATCGACTCTGCGCTGCCCACTAATCGTTAATCACCAACACAAGTAGCTTATAAAACAGTGCGTGTGATCATCTGTCGTATCAAATCAAATTATTGTTCATGATATGCAAGTTTTAGTTTTAAAGTTTTTGGTTTAAAGAATAAACGATAAAGGTTACATCATAATTTTTAACTCTAATTTTCACTTATATTTAAATAAAATTATATTGTTATGTATCATATGATTTTGTAAACATTGGCCGGTGTACCAAAAACCGGTCCCCAAACAAACAAACAAACAAAAACAAGCGAGAAGATCAATCAAGGAGTAAAATTTGTCTTCATCGGTACTGGTATAGTAGCTAAAGACACGTCACCACTCACCAATCACGAGAAGAGCTAGCAGTTATCTAGGGAACCAGAAACGAAATATGAAATAGCAGACAATCTAATTGGTCTGCGACCCCTTCCCTAAAATTGAACAAATTAGGTGATTCTAGAGGGTATGCCGGTAAAATCTCTAAAAAAGTTTTTCAAAATTGTCCCACATTCAAACGACGATTGCCCCCCCCCCCCCCCTGGTAATCTAATTACCAGCCTGTTTACCCCCCCCCCCCCCCCCCCCCCCCGAAAAAGCGCCCCCCTGTTGGCGACCCCCTCCCTAAAATTGAACAAATTAGGTGATTCTAGAGGGTATGCCGGTAAAATCTCTAAAAAAGTTTTTCAAAATTGTCCCACATTCAAACGACGATTACCCCCCGCCGCCCCCCCCCCCCCCCCCCCCCCCCCCCCCCCCCCCCCGTAAAAGTTTCTGTACAAAAGAATTTCTACTCGATAAGATAAACACCCTCGATTAATTTTCAACCTTCTACAATGTTCACAATCAAAGATATTTGACAAACAAGAAAGGTGGTAAAAAGTGGCAAAAGTAGCAAAAAGTGGCTGTTGCCGTGACATACATAATTGCCGACAAGTCTAATTATGTTTGTAGTGGTCCTAACTACTATATTCCGTTGAGAAATCCTTGTTACCATTCAAATCCAAAGAAGCCCTTAAATCGACCACTCAAAATAACCGGAATGGGCACATTAATGTAGGCCTGTCACTAGCCGGCTAGCGACCGCCTAGTAGCCAGTAAGTGGTAACTAGACGTCTAGTGACCGTTATATATATCGACTTTAAGTATAGCTTTTCAGGATATCAGTTAGTTCAAGCTTTCAATTAAAATTACGAAAACGGCGACCAAGATTCTAGAGGTCACGCAAAAAATATGAAACGAAAAGTATAAATACAAACAACGACTTCTCATAACAGAAGGTTAAGGACGTGTGATATTATCAAATTAAGACACTTAACTATTCAACATGTCCGACACGGTGCAATTTAAGTAAACCCTAAAGTAAACAACCGAAAACTGTACACACAAACACTGTGTTTGCATAGCAAGCAACACTCACTGAGGAGCGTGGAGACAGGAATGCCCATATTTGACGTCACATTAATTGACCTTATTTGGACGGACATTAATTGAGCGCTGGAGGCCCTAACCTTCGTCTTAATGTCTGTTAAAATAAAGTCCCTTAATTTAAGGTCCGTCCAAGTTAAAGTCCGTTGAATTTTTTTCAAACATTTTTCCACTTCGAACTTTTTGTCCAGAATATGAAAACTATTAGAACTTTATTGTGCCATAAGCTAACGACGGAAAGGTTCTCCTTGGTCTGCCGGAGGCACAGAAAACTCTACTAGTATATCATGTTTTCAAGGGTCACTTGGCGGAAAAAGTCAAAAATAAGTGACGTTCAGGAAAACTTGATGGACGAAGAAAATTGAAAATTGAAAATAAGACACAAGTCCGGAAACGAGCTGGCGGTGGGATCGAATGATTAATTAGCTTAGCCGACTGAATGATTCAATGAAACAAGAAATATTTTAAGACTGTATAATTGGTGTGGAATTACAGCCCTTAAACATTCTGCAATTTATGGAGGATTTCTGGAATTTCTGGAAATGATCTTACTTTACCTCACGTTTGCACCCCGACACCAAGTGGACCGACAATGGTATGGGGGTCACGACATGATGGTATGGGGGTCACGACAATGGTATGGGGGTCAAGACTTCATATACAAATCTTAATCAGGTAACCGGAAGTTAACCCAGTAGAGGAGTCTAAGAATCTTTCCTAGCCGTTAAGTAAACATATACGGTAAGGTAATGCTTCCCTTGACGATAACCCAGCCTGCGGACATACTATGTTTCTAAGATAAACATACAGTATATCTCTGCGGCTATTTCTATCCTCAGGATGCCAGATAATGTGAAAAAACACTTCAGTTTATATTGGTCGTTCACTTTTCTTATTCTGATTCATTCACGGCCGATTTCATTCTCGGCAACATTTCGCGTTTAGTTATTAGTACAGAAACGGTAATTTAAATTGATATCATTTCCTTTTATTTGGAAAAAGGAAACTTTTGCTACGTTCCATGCACTTTATATTATTACCCAATTTTGGGTTTTGGTTGAAAACTATTTCCAATGGAATTGAACATGAAATAATTTTTAGGAACTAAGAGTAAAATAATAGACTTTCTAATTGTGGTACGAGAGAGCATATAATTATAAACAAACTAATACTATCAAAATTCTTGTTACTGGGCGGCGCTCGGCCTATCAATTGTTATTCCAATATATATTCAATCTGTTTATGAACAGAGAAGCCTCGAGGTCCCCAGGTAAAATTCGTGGGGAGATATAATTAAATTTCTCAATCGTGATGTGGTAGTTGGTACCCTGATAATGACTTGTAAGTTATACTTATACTTAAACCCATGTCTATACTGGAGCTACGCGTTTCCAAGAAAGCTTGATTACTTGATTCAATTTTTATTCAATTTCCCGTAAAACTAAAATAATTCCTCCTGTCCCACCCCTAGATACCTCGCAATGTTCACATGTAATAGCAGATAATTCAGGGGTGTAGGAATGATTTTCTGTGCGCCACAGTTAGAATTTCAAAGGTTTTATAAATTTCAATACTATAGTAGTATAGTACCGTACAGTTAAAGTTTGCCGAAGGCAAACATTTTTGAACATTTTGCTCGTGCAAAACGCCTGGAAGCAATTTGGCAATAGAGACATTTTTGAACTATCTTTACACTGTACACATAAAATATTCTCTAAAAAAATATAACTACTAGTATATGATGTTTTCAAGGGTCACTTGGCGGAAAAGTCACCGAAATTATGGCACTCAACAACATAGTTCATGAGCTAGTCCCCGCCAACATGACAAACTTGTTCCAGCCTCTAGATAATACGGTAAATCGTGTTGCCAAGGACATTGTCCGACGTTGTTATAGTTCATATTACTCAGGGGAGGTAATGAAAAAAAAGCCCATTTGATGAAGGTGATATGTGATATTAGACACTGATCATGTACACATATTTTAAAAATTTTACTGCTTAACGATTGCTTTTCTTACTTACTGTATAAAAATGGATTTAAAAATCATTTGCTGAAATAAAAAAACGTCAAAAAATGAAAAAGATTCGGAATTTTGATGGTTTTGAATGCCTTCTAGCGTTCATATTAATGTCCGTTCATAATTATGTCCGTTCATTTAATGTCCGTCCAAATAAGGTCCGATAAGGTATCTTATGTTGTTGTCGTATTTACAGTAAAGTATTCAAAGGTGGTTAGTGTGAGGTTTGCACCCCCTAAGTTAAACAACACCAAGGTGACTCCACCGAACAAGATTCCGCAACTTGCAACTGTAGAGTGTAGAAACAAGAGGGATTGTGCTACCACTAGTTACCATAGTTACACTACTAGTTACCATAGTTACACTACTTGAAAATGTCAGATCAAATCAATAAATAACCAGGCCAATGTTCTATCGGGAGACGCGGAGCTGAGCCTCATATTCATATACATAGTTATATTAAATACGATTATGTAACTATGGAGAAGAGTGGTCTGTTCTAGGGTTACAGAAAGTTCAAGAAATCCGTAATGAACAATCGAAAGGTTGAGTTAAGCCGGGGCTATATCTAGAAGATTGAGTGGATGGAGACAATTCCTGATTAGGTCGGAGAGAAGGACAGCTTTCCGTCTCTTAATCCGTAAGTCATAGTGGAGAACGAGATGATTTAAAGTCTGAGGAAAGTCTCAATAGCAATGCAATGAACACTAAGGTCTAAAGGAGGAAGGTTAGTGAGGAGTAGAGCTCATTGTTGAACCTATTTGAGCAAGTTAGTAGCGCATATTTTGGAGTCCAGTATATACCACTGATCTATGAGAAAGAGCTGGGATAATGATTTGTTCGTACTTCGTAAATCCATTGAGTGTATGATGGTTTTAGACTCAAATTGTACTTCCTGATAGCACAATGGTAGATATCTATTAAAGTTATGATTTGTTATATATTATTTCCATGATGTTCACTATAATATAAGTTGCTTTTCAGAAACGAACTACAACTAGCTATGAGCGCTTTGTCGACTGAAAGTGTCCGGTTACAATATCTGGTAAGCCCCCAGTCAGGATACAAACCTCGTTACCAAGGTTAAAATATCTGGTAAGCCCCCAGTCAGGATACAAACCTCGTTACCAAGGTTAAAATATCTGGTAAGCCCCCAGTCAGGATACAAACCTCGTTACCAAGGTTAAAATATCTGGTAAGCCCCCAGTCAGGATACAAACCTCGTTACCAAGGTTAAAATATCTGGTAAGCCCCCAGTCAGGATACAAACCTCGTTACCAAGGTTACAATATCTGGTAAGCCCCCAGTCAGGATACAAACCTCGTTACCAAGGTTAAAATATCTGGTAAGCCCCCAGTCAGGATACAAACCTCGTTACCAAGGTTAAAATATCTGGTAAGCCCCCAGTCAGGATACAAACCTCGTTACCAAGGTTACAATATCTGGTAAGCCCCCAGTCAGGATACAAACCTCGTTACCAAGGTTAAAATATCTGGTAAGCCCCCAGTCAGGATACAAACCTCGTTACCAAGGTTAAAATATCTGGTAAGCCCCCAGTCAGGATACAAACCTCGTTACCAAGGTTAAAATATCTGGTAAGCCCCCAGTCAGGATACAAACCTCGTTACACTCTATTATTACCCAGCTATTTAGGTAGTCTATTTGATAATCTCAATATTTGTTCCCTTTCAGGATGACGAGGAAAAGCTATACAGTTCCAAGACAGAGTATACTCCCGGTAAGACTCTAGGGTGATAGGTTCGCTGATCAGTGTTAATTACCATTAATTACTGTTAATTACCATTAATTACTGTTAATTACAGTGTTAATTACCATTAATTACTGTTAATTACAGTGTTAATTAACGTTAACCCACTCTCCCTGATCTGCAGAGCGCCCAAAAGAAGAGCATGTGGAGTATGCACAGCTCACACAGCCTCCCCGGGCTAATACCTACACACACAACCACATCATTATCCACCCAGGTTTCTGCAGTAACTTCTATATTATAATTCAAAAGATTATTTTTGTATGTAGTACCGCCCACGTGCAAATATATGAGAAATATGTAGTTGCAAAGTAACCATGGTAAAAGCGTTGAACGCGCACGTGCATGAATGATTGTTGGAACAGCATTTTTATCGCTTTATTGGTTTTATGGTAATTAAGTTGTGTTTAAAGTGTTTAACATTTAAATCGGCTGTGTCTTAGGTTGGTATGGATATTTTTTGATGCAATTAAAACTTTCAGAGTATACTACTAGCTTCATCCCTGTTACCACGGGCTTTCTAGTAGTATCATAATATACAACTGTATATTATATATACTATATTATGCAGATATACTATATGCAGATTGAGATATTAGTGCTTTTCATTCAAACAAGTAAAAATATTATGCAGATATACTATATGCAGATAGTCTTTAGCATTTAGATTCGCGTAGCATCAATAATTGCGTCTCGTGTAAAACTGCCTATTAAGGTATTCAGTGCACGGGTTTCCTCTTATCTTCCATTAACCTGTCGAACGACTTCTGATGAGTCTGAATAAAAATAGGAAAGGGAGTAATAGTATAAAGGATGCGATGGTCGCGCCGAGGGGGTTTCTAGAACATAAAAAAGTCTAAATTTCAGGAAAAAGATTAATGCATCTAACAAATTCGAAAACAGTACTTCATATTTGTATCCTCAACGCTACACGGCCCTCTTATTAAATCAAACAGTTTAAAATGACATGCACTGCATATAATCAAAGTCTTGAGTTTTAGCTACAGTTTGCACAGTATACAGTTCATATCTTTTTTAAAAAAGTTTCATTCAGCACGATAAATTTCTCTCTTGCACACCAATTCGTGCTTGATTACTGATTATAAAGAAAAATGTGGCGCTCTATCAAGGGATGGATCATTTAAAGCTTTAACTGTTTAAAGCAATATATAAGTTATTATGTATATATATATATACGTTATTAAATTTGACCAAAACCTATAATCATGGGAAGATTGGACCGCTGCCAGTGTCTCTCTTTCCCAAACATAAGAAAATGATATTAATGTGAATAACCGTCCGCAAATGCAAAATGATACCGAGAATGAAATCGGTCGCTCTCTTTGTTGAGCTTTTAAGTTACACTGATTACTTCATGGTTCCCTTTTTAAGAAATCAATGAAACATAATCTTACACTCGAGATTACTTTCTACAAACTGAGTAACTTATTCGGAAACATTGAATATATTGGTAATTTGACCTCTAGGTAACACGTGACTAACAACTTAACACATGACTATTAACTTAACACGTGACTAACAACTTAACACGTGACTAACAACTTAACACGTGACTAACAACTTAACACGTGACTAACAACTTAACACGTGACTAACAACTTAACACGTGATTAACAACTTAACACGTGACTAACAACTTAACACGTGACTAACAACTTAACACGTGACTAACAACTTAACACGTGACTAACAACTTAACACGTGACTAACAACTTAACACGTGATTAACAACTTAACACGTGATTAACAACTTAACACGTGACTAACAACTTAACACGTGACCTCTAGGTATCCGTATAATTATTATACTACTCAGGAACTCTGATTATATATTATGTATATATATATATACGTTATTAAATTTGACCAAAACCTATAATCATGGGAAGATTGGACCGCTGCCAGTGTCTCTCTTTCCCAAACAAAAGAAAATGATATTAATGTGAATAACCGTCCGCAAATGCAAAATGATACCGAGAATGAAATCGGTCGCTCTCTTTGTTGAGTTTTTAAGTTACACTGATTACTTCATGGTTCCCTTTTTAAGAAATCAATGAAACATAATCTTACACTCGAGATTACTTTCTACAAACTGAGTAACTTATTCGGAAACATTGACTAACAACTTAACACGTGACTAACAACTTAACACGTGACTAACAACTTAACACGTGACTAACAACTTAACACGTGACTTACAACTTAACACGTGACTTACAACTTAACACGTGACTAACAACTTAACACGTGACTAACAACTTAACACGTGACTAACAACTTAACACGTGACTTACAACTTAACACGTGATTAAGAACTTAACACGTGACTAACAACTTAACACGTGACCTCTAGGTATCCGTATAATTATTATACTACTCAGGAACTCTGATTGAACAAGCTGAAGCGTACAGAGAGCTCTCGGGACACAACCTGAACCAGGCGAAACTATGGCACTCTAAAAAGAAGGGCATTGTAGCTGGGCACTATGCCAAACAGGTTATCTTACTGGGCACTATGCCAAACAGGTTATCTTACTGGGCACTATGCCAAACAGGTTATCTTACTGGGCACTATGCCAAACAGGTTATCTTACTGGGCACTATGCCAAACAGGTTATCTTACTGGGCACTATGCCAAACAGGTTATCTTACTGGGCACTATGCCAAACAGGTTATCTTACTGGGCACTATGCCAAACAGGTTATCTTACTGGGCACTATGCCAAACGGGTTATCTTACTGGGCACTATGCCAAACAGGTAGCTGGGCACTATGCCAAACAGGTAGCTGGGCACTATGCCAAACAGGTAGCTGGGCACTATGCCAAACAGGTTGCTGGGCACTATGCCAAACAGGTTATCTTACTGGGCACTATGCCAAACAGGTTATCTTACTGGGCACTATGCCAAACAGGTTATCTTACTGGGCACTATGCCAAACAGGTTATCTTACTGGGCACTATGCCAAACAGGTTATCTTACTGGGCACTATGCCAAACAGGTTATCTTACTGGGCACTATGCCAAACAGGTTATCTTACTGGGCACTATGCCAAACAGGTTATCTTACATTGTAGCTGGGCACTATGCCAAACAGGTTATCTTACTGGGCACTATGCCAAACAGGTTATCTTACTGGGCACTATGCCAAACAGGTTATCTTACTGGGCACTATGCCAAACAGGTTATCTTACTGGGCACTATGCCAAACAGGTTATCTTACATTGTAGCTGGGCACTATGCCAAACAGGTTATCTTACAGTTTCAATTTCTGGTGAAGGGGGGGGGGGGTGTAGCTGGGCACTATGCCAAACAGGTTATCTTACAGTTTCAATTTCTGGTGAAGGGGGGGGGGGGGGGGTGTTCAGCCTAAAATGTTTATAAAACTTGATTCTGACATACAAACTAGGACCCGTGACCAATACTAGGACCCGTGACCCCAACCGCCCACCGGGGCCCGCAGTGCAGCCGCACCCATATTTGAGCCCGATTTGGCCAATTTAGGCCAAATCAACTTATTCTTAACCTGCCCAAGACCCAAATTTCTAGTGGTCCCCTGAAGTCGTATATGAATTTTCATCCAGATTGGACAAAAAATGACTGAGTTATGAGACAAAAATAATATGCACAAAAATATGCACCAATCTGGATGGAGATTCATATACGAGTTGAAGCGACCACTAGCTACCAAATTGGGCTCAAATATGGGCGCGGCTTCAACGCAGGCACCGGTGGGCGGTTGGGGCCGGGACCCCCTCAAAAGTTTGGTCACGGGTCCTAGTTTGCTGGTCAATTGCAATGTCAGAATCAAGTTTCACCAAAATTTCAGGCTGAACCCCCCCCTCACAATGTATTTTCTACCAAGGAATTTTCTTTTAAATGTTGACTGAATACAAACCCCAACCCAGGGAGCTAAATACAGAGAACTAGCAGAAGAAGCTGAAATGAAGCTGTTTGAAGGAACCGTCGTGAAAGATAGGTTCGTCAGGTTCCATATAACATACTTAACGATATAAATTTAATTTGTATATTTTAAGAAAATTAGTCTCACTCTGTGATGTCTGCCGCATCATCATATCTTTATCCCGATTCTTTAATCCCGTATTTAGAAACCTACAATAAAATTGTACTCTCTCTCTCTCTCTCTCTCTCTCTCTCTCTCTCTCTCTCTCTCTCTCTCTCTCTCTCTCTCTCTCTCTCTCTCTCTCTCTCTCTCTCTCTCTCTCTCTCTCTCTCTCTCTCTCTCTCTCTCTCTCTCTCTCTCTCTCTCTCTCTCTCTCTCTCTCTCTCTCTCTCTCTCTCTCTCTCTCTCTCTCTCTCCCTCCCTCCCTCCCTCCCTCCCTCCCTCCCTCCCTCCCTCCCTCCCTCCCTCCCTCCCTCCCTCCCTCCCTCCCTCCCTCCCTCCCTCCCTCCCTCCCTCCCTCCCTCTCTCTCTCTCTCTCTCTCTCTCTCTCTAACCTCTCTCTCTCTCTCTCTCTCTCTCTCTCTCTCTCTCTCTCTCTCTCTCTCTCTCTCTCTCTCTCTCTCTCTCTCTCTCTCTCTCTCTCTCTCTCTCTCTCTCTCTCTCTCTCTCTCTCTCTCTCTCTCTCTCTCTCTCTCTCTCTCTCTCTCTCTCTCTCTCTCCCTCTCTCTATTTAACCCTAACCTCCAGGTTACGAGATCTGAAGTTGAATCCAGTGCTAGATCTACACGGTTTCACCTTGAGTCAAAGCAAGTACCTCCTAAACAAGACACTCGATCACTACAACCAAAAGATAGGTAACGATTTCTTTTAGATAGTTTAATAGGTTAAGTATGTTCATATTATATTGACATTATGACAAGTATGTTCATATTATATTGACATTATGACACTCCTAACCAAGGCCAATACAACGAACAATTTATTGCAATGATCACTGGATCAAAAGACATACTGAAAGTTAACAGTGAAAAAGATCCTGTATATGAACAGCACTTACTAATGACATATTAATGACATATTAATGACATATTAATGACATATTAATGACATACTAATGACTTATTAATGACTTATTAATGACTTATTAATGACATATTAATGACTTATTAATGACATATTAATGACATATATAATGACATATATAATGACATATTAATGCCATATTAATGACATACTAATGACTTATTAATGACATATTAATGACATATATAATGACATATTAATGACTTATTAATGACTTATTAATGACATATTAATGACATATATAATGACATATTAATGACATATTAATGACATACTAATGACTTATTAATGACTTATTAATGACATATTAATGACATATATAATAACATATATAATGACATATTAATGACTTATTAATGACTTATTAATGACATACTAATGACATATTAATGACGTATTAATGACTTATTAATGACTTATTAATGACATATTAATGACATATATAATGACATACTAATGACATACTAATGACTTATTAATGACTTATTAATGACATATTAATGACATATATAATGACATATATAATGACATATTAATGACTTATTAATGACTTATTAATGACATACTAATGACATATTAATGACTTATTAATGACGTATTAATGACATACCAATGACATATTAATGACGTATTAATTACTTATTAATGACTTATTAATGACTTATTAATGACATATTAATGACATATATAATGACATATTAATGACTTATTAATGACTTATTAATGACATACTAATGACATATTAATGACGTATTAATGACATATTAATGACTTATTAATGACGTATTAATGACTTATTAATGACATATTAATGACATATTAATGACTTATTAATGACATATTAATGACATATATAATGACATATATAATGACATATTAATGACATATTAATGACATATTAATGACATATTAATGACATATTAATGACATATTAATGACATATATAATGACATATATAATGACATATTAATGACTTATTAATGACATACTAATGACATATTAATGACTTATTAATGACATACTAATGACATATTAATGACGTATTAATGACTTATTAATGACTTATTAATGACTTATTAATGACATATTAATGACATATATAATGACATATATAATGACATATTAATGACTTATTAATGACTTATTAATGACATACTAATGACATATTAATGACGTATTAATGACATATTAATGACTTATTAATGACATATTAATGACCTATTAATGACTTATTAATGACATATTAATGACTTATTAATGACTTATTAATGACATATTAATGACATATTAATGACATACTAATGACATATTAATGACTTATTAATGGCTTATTAATGACATACTAATGACATATTAATGACTTATTAATGACTTATTAATGACATACTAATGACATATTAATGACTTATTAATGACATATTAATGACATATTAATGACATATTAATGACTTATTAATGACTTATTAATGACATATTAATGACATATTAATGACATACTAATGACATATTAATGACTTATTAATGACATATTAATGACCTATTAATGACTTATTAATGACATATTAATGACTTATTAATGACTTATTAATGACATATTAATGACATATTAATGACATACTAATGACATATTAATGACTTATTAATGGCTTATTAATGACATACTAATGACATATTAATGACTTATTAATGACTTATTAATGACATACTAATGACATATTAATGACATATTAATGACCTATTAATGACTTATTAATGACATATTAATGACTTATTAATGACTTATTAATGACATATTAATGACATATTAATGACATACTAATGACATATTAATGACTTATTAATGGCTTATTAATGACATACTAATGACATATTAATGACTTATTAATGACTTATTAATGACATACTAATGACATATTAATGACTTATTAATGACTTATTAATGACATATTAATGACATACTAATGACTTATTAATGACATATTAATGACATATTAATGGCAGGGCAAGAGCCGGAGTTTCCCCGGACGCTGACTGTAATCACCGGTAAAGGACTTCACAGTGCGGGTGGAATCTCAAAACTCAAACCGGGAATAAAAGCTTATCTCAACACGCTTGCTATCCCGTGAGTTTTTTAATTAATTAATTAGTTAATTAGTTAATTAGCTCCTGTTTTGGTTTCCAGACGGAGCCAGTTTACATTGCATCTCTTGTCTGTGTAATTTACAAAGTGTGCACACTGTTCCTACTGTGTGTTTATAAGGGGTCGTTACTATTACGTAATCAATCGAGGGGGAGGGGGTTTCCAAATGATCACGCTATAGTGTAATTTTGACACAACAGCTATGTGTAAAATTAATTAGGGAAGGGGGAGGGCCAGGTGGGATTAAACATTGGCCAAAAAGTGATTACCCCCCCCCCCCCCCCCGTAATCAACCGTTATCAAGATCCAACCCCCCCCCCCCCCCCCCTTACTTTTTTCATTACGTTTCATGCTACCCTGATCATGCTATCATGATGAGCCGAAATCATTGTTATGATATCCGGCCAAGTACCTTCTAAACTACTTACTATAATTATAGCCGGATATTCGATCAATTTCTAAATTTTATCACTATTAGGCTCATGGTAGTCGGGTGGCGCGCACGAGCGATAAGACTTATGGCTCGGTCGACCGAGCGATAAGTAGCTCCTTATCGCTCGTGCGCGTCGTCACTTCAAGCACAATTGCGCGTCGTATCGTACTCGATGCTTGCCAAAGAGCTTTAATACTTTGGTTTTGGCGTGTTACAGATCTTTCTGTAGATTCCATTCCAAGAGTGAGTTGTTGGTGATGGCGGTGTATCTTTTGGTTGGCGGGGTATCGGGAAACGTCTCCAAAAATAGAGCAAGTGATACCTTGAAAGGTCCTAGAGCAGTTAAACTGTTCACTTGTCGTGGGAGGAGGTTCCATAGTCTCGCTACATTCACTCCAAAGGAATTCTCGTAATGAGTGGCCACTGATCGTTACGATTTGTTGTTCAGTGGATGGACTATGGCTTTTATGCCATGTCGAGCGTTTTCCTTGAATACCATGTTGATGTCATTTGGAGCAAGGTCGTTTGCCATCTTCCATGTATGGATCAGGATGTATCGCTCTCTCCGCCTCTGCAGGGAGAGCAGGTCCAGCTTCTTAAGACGGTCCCAATAATCCAATTGCTGACAACCTAAGATACGGCGAGTGTAGTTCCTCTGAACATTTTCAATTGCTTCTATATCGGTGATTTTGCTGGGGTTCCAGACCGGGCAACAGTATTCTAGCCTGCTTCTTACCATTGTTTTGAAATGGGTGAGCATCAGGAAAGGTGATCTGTCACTGAAGACACTGAAGACCCACGATGCCATTTTCTTAGCAGTTTTTAGCATCTGATGGATATGGGGCGTCCATGAGCAGTCATTTGAGAGTAGTACTCCAAGGTCTCTGACTGTTTGCGTTGGTTCGATAGTTTCCCCGTTTGTTCAGCTGTAGCTGTAGCCTGTAGTCTTCGTTGGAGAAGGGAAGTTCTCTCAATAGCAGGGATTTATTCAGCTTGTAGTTGATCACTTCAAATTTGGTTTCGTTTAGCTGCATGTTATTTTGCAGGGCCCATATGATGTCATGATGACATTAAACAGTTCTTCTTGAAGCAAACACCTTGCTACTAAATCAGTAATCTTGCTTATAAGCTTCGTGTCATCAGCATTCAGCAAAGAACTTTCCAAGAGCAGTTAATAACGTGGCCAGTTGGTCATCTATATACAGAATCCAAGCGAACACCGAACATGCACGAGATTAATCTTATTATTAAGTCTGAACGTGTAGAGTTTAGAAAAGAGTCGTCCACATATTACGTAATTAGCCGAGGGTTGGGGGGGGGGGGATTCCAAATGATTGTGCTAGTGTAATTCTGACACGACAGCTATGTGTAGAACTGATTAAGGAGTGGTGGGTGTAAAATTTGTCTAAAAAGTGATTACGTAATATGTGAACGACCCTAAACGTGAACACCGAGGATGAACTTTCTAACAGCATAATAATGCCCATAAATAGTTCAGTAGCTGGTTCACATCTTTCAGGTGCCAGGCCTCCCAAACTGCCTTACTTTGAAACTGGGTAGAATTTCATCAGATTTGCCAGGCGATTTAAGCATTTGATTCTGTGTGCGGGAATAGCGGTCAGCGGAGGATACTTACTAACTTCGTTTTGTAGTAAAGTAGGATCAGGGTCAAATTATTAGGGTCAAGTGTTATTGTGTTAAGTTTGATTTTTAGCACAGTTTTCATTATAGTTAAATAGTTACTTCATTACATAGTCCACAAGGGTAAAGTAATTTCGTAGGTTTTGTATTGAGCATCTTTTAGAGCCCTTTTAGTGCAAGGTTACATTCATATAGATTTTAGTTGCACTTATCTTTACATTTTACAGCACTACGTGTAAGTAGGCGGAAGTAAAGGATTTTATGTAGTCACGCGTGAATGAGTCACCCATTTCAGCAGCCTATTTAAGGGCTGACAAGCTTATTACCAGGGTCCCCTTTTAGTATATTCTTATGAAGTTTTCAGTACGTTCAATCAAGCAAGTATCGAGAATTTGGATTTATTGTAAAGTGATATTATTATACGACACTACATTTATTCGCCCAGATTATTCAGACATTCTTTTCAATTCTATTTAAGTATTTAGACATTTTCAGTGAGACACACTTCTCACCTTTATAAGTTTATTGTTGAAGTCTAGTAAGGCACACTCATTTCACCTACTCATTTACTTGATCGTGACCAGGAGAATTACTGTATGCAGAAATTAGGATCATACACGTTAAAACAGTCCGCAGTCCGAATCAACAGATCATATTAGGTGATTATGATTGATTGAGTCGGCAAAAACGTCTGCAATAAAGTCCAGTGATATCCTAATAGCATATCATAACTGGGCAAACAACTTAACAGGGTCTAGCTCTAATGAATAAAATAACAATGGTTACGATTGCTCTGAAGTAAAATGATTCCTTGCTAATATATCATCGTGAGAACCAGCACATATAATATAAATTATGTGCTGGTGACATGATATGCTTTCCATTACTAATTGAATACTGATAATCGTGTTCACAGCTCGATTTTACTTTTTTGATGAATTATGTTTATAACTTCTTTATGATTCTTAACAGCTATAAATTGTCATTTGTATGACGATGTGAGACGTGAGTGCTGCTTGCATACATAGTGGCCGTGAGTGTCAGGGCTTTTGGAGAGTGGGACGTCATGAGAAGTCGGATAAAGAAATATATTGCAGAGATAGAGGCCGTGAGTATGAGAGATCTAGGCGATTGGGAAGTCATGAGAAGTCGGACAAAGAGATATATTGCAGAGAAATAGGCTGTGTTAGTGAGAGATCAGGGCAAATGGGAAGACGGCGAGAATTTAAGAGATGCCGTGAAAGTAAAAGCAAAAGAAAAAAACTTTATAAAAGGGCTTAACAAGGATTGTTAATTAACGCATTAATAATATAAATATAAAGTTTTAAGTTTCTAACTCACATCAGAAAGAGAACAAACGCCCTGTGATTCAAAATCATTCCTAGTTTATCTAAGCTTATGATCATCAATCAACATTCAACACTTCTGCTTTTTGCCAAAAGCGAATAAAAGGCCCCTTCTGTGTCCACTGTCTTGACGATTCTCAGTATGATCATACATGAGTCTATGTAGTTTGACGTTATGTGTTTAACGCACAAATCCCCAGTCTCACAGAGTTACGGGCTCCAGCAATCGCTCACAAACCAACTAGACCTCTCGAAATGAAAGAAATGGGAACAAGGTTACGATAAAAACAGATTATCAAAATTTTTTGGAAAAAGAAGGATTCTATTCCAAGATTATAGCAACGAAGTTCATGTCGATAATCTTTTGACATTTTAAATAGTATACCACCTGCTCTGCTTGTACACATCACGAAGGTATTTATTAAAGGCACTTACTTGGGTTGCTTTATTACATTACTTAGGCATCCAATCTTTGCAGTTGTTTCTTTCATGGTAGTTGCGAGCGTCTATACTTTCAGTCTTTAGCTTGCTCATTTTGTATTTACATCATTTGTACAAGACTAGATGGTAGGCATGTTCTGTGTTCTAAACCTAACTTTAGTGTGCATGTTATCTTTTATGTTGGTCTCAGTTTAAACCTGAAAGCCATTGAATATGTTTGTCACTGCTTCTCAGCTGATCATAAATAATTTAAAATAGGGTTCAGTGTTCTGACCATTTGTGTATGTAGATGAAGCAAGGTCAGGAACCCAGCACGGTGAAGGATTAGGCCGGTTATCTAGCAAAGATCTCTGTCACTATACTTTTGTTGCTCAGTATCATTAGTATCATCATTGAAGATTGTGCATACACAACTTTATTAAGGACACGTTTTTTTTAAAGTGTGGTGAGTTGCTGATTTCACCTTTTTTAAAGTAGAGTGCACAAAATGAGGAAAAAGTCGCAATGCTTTTTAAAGTGCAACCATAAATTTGTACATAAGATGAAGTGAAAATATTCAGCAGTTGTGATTTGAAAAAACGAAGTGCCAGGCTCAAGCAGAATATGACTTATGAGCAATTAAACTGAGTGCCAAAAATCAGCAAACCAATTTAACCTCCAATTGACTAATTCCATTGATTTCGACATATTTTGCTCAAATATTGTTCACATTACACTAGTAGATTGGAGTGAGTAACTGTTTAAAGACAAAAATTGTCTATTTCTTGATCCATGGGTGTATTATTGTTAGTTTAAGCATCTATTTCGAAAAGTAATGTGTTCATAAAGGGGTCAAAAACAGATAATACTATTAGAGTGCCACTAATCAGCTGTAGTGACTGCTGCAGCCAACGTGGGAATTACCAACTATTGTAAGTCAATATCAGCATTATTAATCATCTCAAACCACCGAATTGTTTATGTTTCAGATACGAATCTTAGTTTAGTTATATCCTGATAGTTTGAACAGCATATGTGTCCTGAAAATCAGTAATAAGTGACTTATTTGACAGAAATAGTCATTCTTACTGCTAAATGGCACTCTTTTAAGTTCAAAATATTGTTTGAGAGAGCGGTGTGCCTTTTTTTTTAAATCTGGCACAATTTTGTTGCACTGTGTGCCATTATTCAGCTTAAAATGACTTCTTTCTCTAAAGGCATATACCAATGGTAAATCACATACAAATTTTGCTTTGTAAACAGTGTTGTGATAACCTGCTATAATTAACTTAAAACTGGCACAATGAACTTCAAACATCAATAGTATGTACCAATTTCCATGATGAACATAATATTGTTGTCAGAAATCTACTTTATCGTGCCAATAATCAGCAAAAAGTCATTTCTATGAAGATTTTAAGCTAAAAATATTATTTATAAAATGACTTTTAGCTGAATTAGAACACACAATATCGTTAGATTTTGTAAAGAATCATCTTGATGAACCTGCCTATGCTGTCAGACATCAATTGTATAGTGCCAATATTCAGCAAAGAGTCATTTCTTTTGAATTTTTAATCGTGATGAATTTGACCTAAAAATGACTTTTTACTGAAAACTGAAACACTCTTAATTTGATTTTCGAACAGAATGCTGTTGAGCAGACTTAATCTCGACAGTATGATTGAAAAACGTTCTAATTTGTTGCTGTCTAGCTACTGCAATGTAAAAAAATCAATTGTAATTTTGTGAGTGAATTTTTACTGAATACAGGTACACAATAGGTTTTTCCTAGGTTACATTATTACAGACCAACGTTTCTTGAAAGTTGTTACAGTTCATTCACAAGCTGATCAAGAGTATGGGCCTTGTACAACCCCAATTCAACCAAACTAGAAATTTCACCAAACAAATGACTGTTTGCTTATTTTGAGCACAGTTCAAGTATTCCTACCAAAATCCAAATATTCTTTGAATAATTCTGAGACATAATCTGAATTTTGAACAGAAAAGTCGCAAAATTCAGTTTTTAAAGGGCGTTTTCAACATTATAGTCCAAAATGCTGAAAACTGGCACTGCCTTGGTACTATATTATAACATATTATCTAAGTAATGGATTTTCCTTACAGGGGCAGTTAAGATTGAAGGCATATCTGTGCAACACTTTCTAGTTACTAGTCATTTCACTTTCACTGTCAAAAGTGTCATGGCACTCAAAGTCATTTTCACCACACTTAAAAAAAACGTGTCCTTAAGGTAAATGTTAGACAGTGTTATTTCGAATATATCCCAGCACAAATATTATCAGCTTCATCAATCTTGATATCTTAACGATGACCCTGGTCAAACAATTTAAAACTTCTGTAATTTCATTTCTAGTATGCGTATAGGAAATCGATAAGGCTTTAAAATGATATGTTCGGCGACCTTTTAGCTCAATCACGAGACTCAGTAGGAGTGATTGAACTGCAAGGGACAATTGAGGCTAACGAATTAGCAGTTTCAAGTTAAGTTTAATATAATATCGAATTAATTATAATAACGAATGAATTATACAGGTTGTACGTACACGCCACAGAATTAGAAACGTTCTGATCGAGCTGCACTTGCACTGATGAGCTGAACGTTTGCGGAGTTAAAATCGCAAGCTACCAACGCGATACTTCCGAATATAGTTGCGCGGCTTATTAGTAAAATTAAAAATTAGCTTTCGAATGTTTATTGTTTATTTTGATTTTGTTGCATATTGTTTTGAATTAAATTATATCTAATTTACAATTTATAAATAAAATGTGTACTGAATACAACAATTTTTTATAAGCTAATTATAGTCTGAAGCTAATTTTTAATTTTACCTATAAGCCGCGCAACTGCCTCTTGAAAGTTTCGCGTTTGTAGCTCGCGATTGTAACTCCGCAAACGTTCAGCGCCTTACCCATGAGATACCAGCTCGATCAGGCCGAACGTTTTTAATTCTGTGGCGTGTACGTACTGACAACCTGTATAATTCATTGGTTATTATAATTAATTCGTTATTATATTAAACTTAACTTGAAACTGCTAATTCGTTAGCCTCAATTGTCCCTTGCAGTTCAATCACTCCTACTGAGTCTCGTGATTGAGCTAAAAGGTCGCCGAACATATCATTTTAAAGCCTTATCGATTTCCTATACGCATACTAGAAATGAAATTACAGAAGTTTTAAATTGTTTGACCAGGGTCATCGTTAAGATATCAAGATTGATGAAGCTGGTAATATTTGTGCTGGGATGTATTCGAAATAACACTGTCTAACATTTACCTTAATAAAGTTGTGTATGCACAATCTTCAATGATGATACTAATGATACTGAGCAACAAAAGTATAGTGACAGAGATCTTTGCTAGATAACCGGCCTAATCCTTCACCGTGCTGGGTTCCTGACCTTGCTTCATCTACATACACAAATGGTCAGAACACTGAACCCTATTTTAAATTATTTATGATCAGCTGAGAAGCAGTGGCAAACATATTCAATGGCTTTCAGGTTTAAACTGAGACCAACAAAATAGATAACATGCACACTAAAGTTAGGTTTAGGACACAGAACATGGCTACCATCTAGTCTTGTACAAATGATGTAAATACAAATGAGCAAGCTAAAGATCATCGACATGAACTTCGTTGCTATAATCTTGGAATAGTATCCTTCTATTTCCAATCAATTTTGATAATCTGTTTTTATCGTAACCTTGTTCTCATTTTTTTCATTTCGAGAGGTCTAGTTGGTTTGTGAGCGATTGCTGGAGCCCGTAACTCTGTGAGACTGGGGATTTGTGCGTTAAACACATAACGTCAAACTATATAGACTCATGTATGATCATACTGAGAATCGTCAAGACAGTGGACACAGAAGGGGCCTTTTATTCGCTTTTGGCAAAAAGCAGAAGTGTTGAATGTTGATTGATGATCATTAGCCTAGATAAACTAGGAATGATTTTGAAGCACAGGGCTTTTGTTCTCTTTCTGATGTGAGTTAGAAACTTAAAACAGTCCTAGGACCGATCCTGTTTATTCTGTACATCAAGGATCTGTTGAACAGTATTAGCTATAGTAACGGATTCAGCTTTGCAGACGACACAAAGCTGATTGGGGCTATCCAAGGAATGAGTAGTGTAGAGTTACTGCAAGATGATCTCAACATAGTCATCGAGTGGTCACGTGTTAACAACATGGAGCTACACGAACAGAAGTTTGAGGTTGTAAACTACCCCCTGAATGGATCAAAAGCTCTAAGAGAGCTCCTGTTCTACCCAGAAACTGTTGAGTATACTACACCAAAAGGACACGCAATATCACCACAGGAAACTGTCAGAGACGTTGGAGCGTATGTTAGCAGCAGTAGATCATGGGGTCCTCACATTGAGAAGACAGTTCAAGGAGCTAGAAAAATGGCGGCTTTGACTTTGAGTGCTTTTAGAGACCGGTCACAATTAGTCATGCTGACTTTATACAAAAGCATGGTTCGCTCCAAGCTAGAGTACTGCTGTCCAGTCTGAAACCCTGCAAAAGTCACAGAGATACAAAAGCTGGAGACTGTACAAAGATCCTTTACTATAAAGATATCTGGCTGCCGTGATCTCCAGTACTGGGACAGGTTGAAGAAGCTTAAGTTGATGTCTCTTCAGAGGCGGAGAGAGCGTTAATGTTATTCTATTATTCATGTATGGAAAATTCTTAATGAACATGCTCCGAACGATACGGGTTTCGAGTTCAAGTCTCATCAAAGGCATGGTATTAAGGCAGAGATCCCAGCCATGAACAAAAGCGCACAATTGTCGGTAAGAACAGATTACGACAACAGCTATAGAGTTAGAGCAGCTCAGCTCTTCAACGTGCTCCCATCGGAGCTCCGGAGTACCACATTGCTAGACAGTTTCAAAGTTGGTCTAGGAAGTTCCATGGAACAGTACCCAGACACGCCACCGGTTCCGGGCTACACTCCGACAAACGATAACTCAATGCTGAGCTGGAGGAGGACGCACTCGATGCAGTTGTCCTGAGCACGCCCTGCCAAACTCACCAAAACGTACCAAAAACGTACGTAACTTTATATTTTTATTAATGAGTTAATTAACAATCCTTGTTAAGCCCTTTTATAAAGTTTTTTTCTTTTGCTTTTACCTTCACGGCATCTCTTAAATTCTCGCCGTCTTCCCATTCGCCCTGATCTCTCACTAACACAGCCTATTTCTCTGCAATATATCTCTTTGTCCGACTTCTCATGACTTCCCAATCGCCTAGATCTCTCATACTCACGGCCTCTATCTCTGCAATATATTTCTTTATCCGACTTCTCATGACGTCCCACTCTCCAAAAGCCCTGACACTCACGGCCACTATGTATGCAAGCAGCACTCACGTCTCACATCGTCATACAAATGACAATTTATAGCTGTTAAGAATCATAAAGAAGTTATAAACATAATTCATCAAAAAAGTAAAATCGAGCTGTGAACACGATTATCAGTATTCAATTAGTAATGGAAAGCATATCATGTCACCAGCACATAATTTATATTATATGTGCTGGTTCTCACGATGATATATTAGCAAGGAATCATTTTACTTCAGAGCAATCGTAACCATTGTTATTTTATTCATTAGAGCTAGACCCTGTTAAGTTGTTTGCCCAGTTATGATATGCTATTAGGATATCACTGGACTTTATTGCAGACGTTTTTGCCGACTCAATCAATCATAATCACCTAATATGATCTGTTGATTCGGACTGCGGACTGTTTTAACGTGTATGATCCTAATTTCTGCATACAGTAATTCTCCTGGTCACGATCAAGTAAATGAGTAGGTGAAATGAGTGTGCCTTACTAGACTTCAACAATAAACTTATAAAGGTGAGAAGTGTGTCTCACTGAAAATGTCTAAATACTTAAATAGAATTGAAAAGAATGTCTGAATAATCTGGGCGAATAAATGTAGTGTCGTATAATAATATCACTTTACAATAAATCCAAATTCTCGATACTTGCTTGATTGAACGTACTGAAAACTTCATAAGAATATACTAAAAGGGGACCCTGGTAATAAGCTTGTCAGCCCTTAAATAGGCTGCTGAAATGGGTGACTCATTCACGCGTGACTACATAAAATCCTTTACTTCCGCCTACTTACACGTAGTGCTGTAAAATGTAAAGATAAGTGCAACTAAAATCTATATGAATGTAACCTTGCACTAAAAGGGCTCTAAAAGATGCTCAATACAAAACCTACGAAATTACTTTACCCTTGTGGACTATGTAATGAAGTAACTATTTAACTATAATGAAAACTGTGCTAAAAATCAAACTTAACACAATAACACTTGACCCTAATAATTTGACCCTGATCCTACTTTACTACAAAACGAAGTTAGTAAGTATCCTCCGCTGACCGCTATTCCCGCACACAGAATCAAATGCTTAAATCGCCTGGCAAATCTGATGAAATTCTACCCAGTTTCAAAGTAAGGCAGTTTGGGAGGCCTGGCACCTGAAAGATGTGAACCAGCTACTGAACTATTTATGGGCATTATTATGCTGTTAGAAAGTTCATCCTCGGTGTTCACGTTTAGGGTCGTTCACATATTACGTAATCACTTTTTAGACAAATTTTACACCCACCACTCCTTAATCAGTTCTACACATAGCTGTCGTGTCAGAATTACACTAGCACAATCATTTGGAATCCCCCCCCCCCCCCAACCCTCGGCTAATTACGTAATATGTGGACGACTCTTTTCTAAACTCTACACGTTCAGACTTAATAATAAGATTAATCTCGTGCATGTTCGGTGTTCGCTTGGATTCTGTATATAGATGACCAACTGGCCACGTTATTAACTGCTCTTGGAAAGTTCTTTGCTGAATGCTGATGACACGAAGCTTATAAGCAAGATTACTGATTTAGTAGCAAGGTGTTTGCTTCAAGAAGAACTGTTTAATGTCATCATGACATCATATGGGCCCTGCAAATAACATGATCTAAAGAAACCCCAATTTGAAGTGATTTAATACCGATTACGCCAAAGCGTTGACATGTAGAACAACATTCTTCTAGCTAAAGCCAAACGCTACGGCATCAGGCAAAACTCTTATTTTGAGCACAGTTCAAATATTCCTTACCAATATCCAATATATTCTTTTGATTTATTCTGAGACATAATCTGAATTTTGAACAGAAAAAAGTCGGCAAAATTCAGTTTGTAAAGGGACGGTTTTCAACATTATAGTTCCAAAATGCTGGAAAAAATGGCACTGCCCCTTTGATGTACTATAATTATAAATATTATCTAAGAATGTTGTTCCTTACAGGGCGTTAAGATGATGGCATATCATGTGCAACACTTTCTAGTTACAGTCATGTCACTCCTCACTGTCAAATGGTCATGGCACTCAAAGTACATTTTCACCACACTTTAAAAAAAAAGTGTCCTTAAGAAATGTTTAGACATGTTATTCGATTTTATCCCAGCACTAATATTATCAGCTTCATCAATCTTGATATCTTAACGATGACCCTGGTCAAACAATTTTAAAACTTCTGTATTTCATTTCAGTATGCGTTATGTAAATCGATAAGGCTTTTGTAAAAATGATATGTTCCGGCGACCTTTTAGCTCAATCACGAGACCAGTAGGAGTGATTAACTGCCAAGGACAATTTGAGGGGCTAACGAATTAGCAGTTTCAAGTTAAGTTTATATATAATATGTATTAATATAATAACGAATGAATTTACAGGTTGTACGTTCACAGCCAACAGAAATAAGGAAGGAGTAGAAACGTTCTGATTCGAGCTGCCACTTGCCACTGATGAGCTGGAACGTTTGCGGAGGAGGTTTTTTTTTTAAAATCAGCAAGCATAAACCAACGCGATATTCCTGAATTTTACTTTACACCATAGGTTGCGCGGCTTATTAGTAAAATTAAAAAATTAGCTTTCGAATGTTTATTGTTTCTTTGATTTTGTTGCTTATTGTTTTGAATTTTAATTATATCTATTTACAATTATAAATAAAAAATGTGTACTTGAATTACAACAATTTTTTATAAGTAATTATAGTTGAAGCTAATTTTTTAATTTTACCTATAAGCCGGCATGCCTCTTTGGGGAAATGAGGTGGAAAGTTTCGCGTTTGAGCTCGCGATTGGTAACTCCGCAAAACGTTCAGCGCCTTACCCATGAGATACCAGCTCGATCAGGCCGAAGTTTTAATTTCTGTGGCGTGTGTACGTTATACTGGACAACCTGTATAAATTCATTGGTTTATTATTTCAATTCGTTATTATATTTAAACTTAACTTGAAAACTGTATTATTTCGTTCGCCCCTCAAATTGTCCCTTGCAGTTCAATCACTCTATGAGGGTTCTCGTCGTGTCAGATTGATTGTTTTTTGAGCTAAAATAGGTCTACCGCCCCCGCCCGACCCCGCGCGCCCGAACCCGCCACAGAAACCCGCCGCGAAACGAACGAAACGACGACCCCGCGAAACATATCATTTTAAATAAAGCCTTATTTTATCGATTTTCCTTTTCTATAACGCCATACTATGAAAAGAAAAAAAATTACAGAGAAAGTTTTTTTTTTTTTTTTAATTTTATTTTAAATTGTTTGACAGGGTCATCGTTTTATTTATATTTTATTAAGATATCAAGGATTGAACTGAAGCTGTGGTAATATTTGTTTTGCTTTTGGGAGATGTATTTCGCGAAAATAACACTCTGTCTAACAATTTACCTTAATATTAAAGTTGTTGTGTATGCACACACAATCTTCATTGATGATTTAATAATGATTACTGAAAGCAACAACACCAAAAAGTTATAGTGACAGGATCTTTGCTAGAATAACCGGCCTAATCCTTTCACCGTGATGGGGGTTTCATGACCTTGCTTCATCTAATACAACAAACAAATGGTCAAGACACTGACCCTATTTTTTTTAACTATTATTTTGATCAGTGTAGAAGCAGTAGTGGCAAAACATATTCAATGGCTTTTTCAAGGTTTTTTTTTTTTAAACTCGAGAACCAAACAAAAAATAGATAACATGAACACTAAAGTTAGGTTTGGACATCAGAACATGGCTACCATCTAGTCTTGTACAAATGATGTAAATACAAATGAGCAATTGCTAAAGATCATCGACATGATCTTTCGTTGCTATAATCTTGGGAATAGTATCCTTCTATTTCCAATCATTTTGATTAATCTGTTTTATCGTAACTTGTGTTCTCATTTTTTTCATTTCGAGAGGTCTAGTTGGTTTTCGTGAGCGATTGGTGGAGCCCGTTAACTCTGTGAGACTGGGGATTTGTGCGTTTTAAACACCATTAACGTCAAACTATATAGTCTCATGTATGTTCTACTTGAGAATCGTCAAGACTGTGGGACACAGAAGGGGCCTTTTATTCGCTTTTGGCAAAAAGCAGAAAAAGCAGAAGTGTTGAATGTGATTGGATGATCATTAGCCTAGAAGATAAACTAGGAATGATTTTGAAGACAGGGCTTTTGTATCTCTTTCTGATGTGAAGTTAGAAGTTAAGAAACTTAAAACAAAAACAGGTCTAGGACCGATCCTGTTTATTCTGTACATCAAGGATCTGTTGAACATATTAGCTATAGTAAACGGATTCAGCTTTTGCAGACGAACAAAGCTGATTGGGGCTATCCAAGAATGAGTAGTGTAGAGTTACTGCTAGATTGATCTCAAAATAGTCATCTGAGTGGTCACTTGTTAACCCCATTACATGGAGCTACACCGAACAGAAGTTTTGAGGTTGTAAACTACCCCTGAATGATCAAAAGCTCTAAGAGAGCTCCTGTTCATACCCAGAAAACTGTTGAGTATAATACATCCAAAAGGACACGCAATATCACCACAGGGAAACTGTCAGAGGACGTTGGGAGCGTTGTTTGCAGCAGTAGATCATGGGGTGTCCTCACATTGTGAAGACAGTTTCAAGGAGCTATGAAAATGGCGGGCTTTGACTTTGTGGTGCTTTTAGAGACCGGTACAATTAGTCATGCTGGACTTTATACAAAAAGCATGTTCGCCCAAGCTAGAGTACTGCTGTCCAGGTCTGAAACCCTGCAAAAGTCCACAGGGATACAAAAAGCTGGTGACTGTACAAGATCCTTACATTAATGATATCTGGCTGCCGTGGATCTCCAGTAACTGGACAGGTTTGAAGAAGCTTTTAAGTTGATGTCTCTTCAGTGGGGACGAGAGCAGTTAATGTTAATTCTATATATTCATGTATGGAAATTCTTTAATGAACTTGCTCGAACAGATACGGGTTTCGAGTTCAAGGGTCTCCATCTCAAAGGCATGTATTAAGGCAGAGATCCCAGCCATGAACAAATGAGCACATTGTCGGTATAAGAACAGATTTCGACAACAGCTATAGAGTTTTAGAGCAGCTCAGATCTTCAACGTGCTCCCATCGGAGCTTCCGGAGTACCAACATTGCTAGACAGTTTTCAAAAGTTGGTCGAGGAAGTTCCATGGAACTGTACCAGGACACGCCAACGGTTCCGGGCTACACTCCGACAAACGATTAACTCAATGCTGAGTTGGAGGAGGACGCACTCGATGCCAGTTGTCTGATGCACGCCTGCCAAACTCACCAAAAAGTACCAAAAAACGTACGAAATTTATATTTTTATTAATGGTAAATTAACAATCATTTTAAGCCCTTTTTATAAAGTTTTTTTTCTTTTGCTTTTACACTTCACGGCATCTCTTAAATTCTCGCCGTCTTCCCCATTCGCCCTGATCTCTCACTAACAAAGCCTATTTCTCTGCAATATATCTCTTTTGTCCGACTTCTCATGAATCCCAATCGCCTAGAATCTCTCAAATCACGGCCTCTATCTCATGCAATTTATTTCTTTCATCCGACTTCTCATGACGTCCCACTCTCCAAAAGCCCTGACACTCACGGGCCACTATGTATGCAAGCAGCACTCACGTCATCACATCGTCATACAAATGACAAATTTATTGCTGTTAAGGATCATTAAGAAGTTTATAATACATTAATTCATCAAAAAAGTAAAATCGAGCTGTGATACACGATATCAGTATTCAATTAGTAATGGGAAAAGAAATATCATGTCACCGAACATAATTTATATTATATGTGCTGGTTCTCACGAGATATATTAGCAAGGAATCATTTTACTTCAGAGCAATCGTTACCATTGTTAATTTTTATTCATTAGAGCTAGACCCTGTTTAAGTTGTTTGCCCAGTTATGATATGCTATTAGGATATCATGGACTTTATTGCAGACGTTTTTGCCGACTCCAAATCAATCATAATCAAAACCTAATTTGTTCTGTTGATTCGGGACTGCGGCCCTACACACATATCCCCCTGATTTTAACGTGTATGAATCATAATTTCTGCATACAGTAATTCTCCTGGTCAGATCAAGTAAATTGAGTAGGTTGGAATTGAGTGTGCCTTACTAGCTTCAACAATAAACTTTAATGGTGAGAAGTGTGTCTCACTGAAAAATGTCTAAATACTAAAATTGAATTGAAAAGAATGTCTGAATAATCTGGGCGAATAATGTAGTGCTCGCTACCTAATATTATCACTTTACATTAAATCAAATTCTCCGTTACTTGATTGATTGAACTTACCTGTTAACTTATAGAATATACTAAAAGGGGTACACTGGTTATTAGATTTGTCAGCCCTTAAAATTGGCTGCTGAAAATGGGTGACCATTCACGCGTGACTACATAAAATCCTTTACTTCCGCCTTCTTTCACGTTAGTGCTGTAAAAATGTAAAGATAAGTGCATCTATAATCGATATGAATGTAACCTTGCACTTAAATCTAAAAGGGCTCTAAAAAGTGCTCAATACAAAAACTACGAAATTACTTTACCCTTGTGTGACTATTTATGATGTAACAATTTACTATAATGAAAAACTCGTGCTTAAAAAATCAATCTTAACACCAATACATCTTGACCCTAATAAGTTGACCCTGATCTACTTTACTACAAAAACGAATTTTAGTAAGTATCTCCCGCATGACCCGCTTTTCCCGCACACAGATCAAAAAGCTTAAATCGCCTGGCTAATCTTGATGAAATTCTACCCAGTTTCAAAAGTAAGGCGTTTGGTGTGGCCTGGCACCTGAAAGATGTGAACCAGCTACTGAACTATTTATGGGCATTATTTATGCTGTAGAAAGTAATCCTCGTGTGTTCACGTTTAGGGTTCGTTCACAATATTACGGTAATCATTTAAGACAAATTTTACAACCCACCACTCCTTAATCAGTTCTACACATAGCTGGATCGTGTTCAGAATTACACTAGCACAATCATTTGGAATCCCCACCCCCCCCCAAACCTCGGCTAATTACGAATTATGTGGACGACTCTTTTCTAAACTCTACACGTTCAGACTTAAAAATAAGATTTATCTCGAGCATGTTCGGTGTTCGCTTGGATTCTGTATATAGATGACCAACTGCGCCACCCCTGTCTACCCCCCCCTTAAGCTGCCCTCTTCCCCATCTGTTCTTTGCCCCCCTGGAATGCTGATGGACAACCGAAAGCTTATAAGCAAGATTTACGATTTAGTAGCAGGTGTTTGCTTCAAGAAGGAACTGTTAATGTCATCATGACATCATATGGGACCTGCAAATTAACCAGAGAGACACAGCCTAAACGAAACCAAAATTTGAAACGTGATCAACTCAAGCTGAAATAAAATCCATGCTATTGACGAGAACTTCCCT